GTACTTATATAAATACAACCAGAAAATCCTACATCTACTGCCATCATCACCCAATAGCTTCCTCCTTTGTTATTCTATATTTAATGATTATAATCAAATGCTGAATGAAAACGTGTTAAAAAACTCACAATAATGTTAGTCTTTATTCATAACTCACACTTAGGAGTTTCCAGGAGAAGGTTTCTCTGGGACATTCACCCGATTCAAAACAAGCTAAGCATTTGGTTTTAACACAGCTCTTGTCACCAAAAATTAGCCCAAAAACGAATTCATCTCACTGATAAGCCATCTTATCCTGTAAAAATACAAAGTTAAAGCAATGCAACCAAAGAAATGACGTACGTGTTGACTAGATGTTTGTTTACAAATAAGAGATGTTTTCTTTTAAACATGTTATCAATTTGACCAGCTAAGACTTCCAAATACCCCAGACAAAGGGCACATCGTGGAGTAATTGTAAATGGTAATGATGTGACTAAAGCGAATAGAGAGCAACAGAAGGGTGCTATAATGTGGGAAGATGCAGAATTACAAGCCATGTAATGTCGGACGTAACGTTTCTATGAGGGCATGACCTACTCAGACAGCAATGAGCAAGGCTAGCTGGCATGCCAGTTTGTGCGGGCAGGCTGTTTTCAGACGGTTTTCAGACGGTTTGCAGACACTCGCACACAGACTTCCCCCTACCGCTGCTGCTAGCCCAGCGCCGCTACGTGGTTAGCTAAGCCACCGGCGGCTGCCACAAAGAGCCCTCACAGCTGTCCTGAATATCGAATTAACATGCAGCTACTCAGTCTTACCTCCTTTGACTGCGACGGCAACGCCACGACAAGCAAATACGCACTATTGAAACGTGACCTAAAGCGCAGATAGTCTGTCTGACTTCTCCATTGCCTGAAGGAGATGCTGAGCGTGCCCTCGATGATGTTTGAAGCATTAGCTTTTCCCTTTCTGTCGCTCAGGGTTGTAATACTACTGCGTCTCGTTACCGTATAACATCCTGGAAACGTACCTTTGTGTTTTATGCGCATTTCATACGCCTTGAAAATTGGATTCATGAACAGTCTGGTACTGTATATTGTATGAATCTTCAAATCTTCTGCATGAAAAAGGAACATCTACATTTGAAATATGTTCTTTTTATGGAATAAAACGTTACATTATCAAATGTTGTATTGAAGTACACTAAGCTTTACTCACCTCTAACGGACGTTGAACTTATTACACGAGTATCTTGCTCTGCGCTTTTTAAGTAATCTTTACGGTAAGTTTCCAGGTAGTCGAACGTTAAAATCGGAGATGTGACGTAACAACACTGGGGCCAATCGGCTTATTGGAGAGGCGGAGCCAGTTGAGATAACGGACCTGAAATCCTAAATTGTTAACGGGCGCGTCCATCGATAATAATGTAAATTAGTGTCGGAAACACGATGTAAATATCCATGTACGACACAAGCAAAAAGGGAACTTGAGGCCACCAAGATGGAAACACACTGAAGTAAGTCAAAGGCTGTCAACCAAACGATTAGCGACAATGCTATAAGCTAGCTGACATTGCAACGCTCGAAAGCGATGAATGAAAAATAAAGCATTTTTAATTATTTATGACACAAATGCTCCTAACGGCAGCACATCTGCCTCGCTATTTATGTTTGTAAGCTATTCCAACGTTGTTAAAGGATATTGCATGTAGTTTATCTCTTTGAATGATGCACCCAGAGCTCATCGTCATATTGAGCCTCGTTCTGATCTGCTGTCTTTCCTCTGGATGTGTGCTCTGTGTGGACATTGTTAGTCTCCTCTGATGTGTGCCTGCTCTCAGTGAGATGTCTCTGGCTCAGAGGGTGTTGCTGACCTGGGTCTTTACCCTGGTTTTCCTCATCATGCTGGTGCTCAAACTGGATGGAAAGGTATGGAACACGTCCTGGTTATCCTGCGTTCACCCTGTAGATTAAGGTCAAGGAACTCTTAGTTCTGTTGTCTGTGTTATGTCAGCTTTTGATTAGTAATGAACTTACATGGATGAAAGCCCTGCCTCAGTGAACATCTTTTACATTTCTTCTCCCCAGGTGCAGTGGAACTGGTTCCTCATCTTCCTCCCAGTCTGGGTCTTTGATGGCATCCTCATCCTCATGCTCGCCATCAAGATGGCTGGCCGTTGCAAGCCCGGGTACGACCCACGAAACGGCTCTCCGGACCTGCGTCTGCGATCCTGGTACCTGACTGCCATGCTGCTTAAGGTGGGCTTCTGCCTGACACTGTGCGCCAAGCTGGAAAAACTGGCCGATGTCAAGCTGACCTTCGTGTGCATACCGCTGTGGACCATGCTGCTGGGGGCTCTGGTGGAACTGGGGCTGAATATATTTCCTGAAAGGAGAGAAGCTTGAGCCCTTCAAAACACCTTATCTCGAGCTATAACCATTAACAGATACGAAAATGTGTTTTTGGAATGGTTTGTGTTCATCCACTCATCCGCTATTTCCAGAAGAGACTTGAAACTTAAAAAGATTAACAGCTTATTATTTTAAGGAAATAGACCTCTCAACAGAGCTGGGACTCTGCTGACCAGTCCACTAAAGAGCTACTTTTATTGTTTTCTTCTTTATAACAAAGTATCCGTACGTTTGAGATTACTGTGAATCCAACACTGGAAAAAAAACAATGCGTACGCTTAGAATTGAATACCTGATTTGCAAGTGGTGTTTTTAGTGTTTGATTTGTCTGAGATATATGTTTAAGTGATTGATATAACACGTGTTATATAAAAACTAAAAATGCAGAGTATTGTTATAAATGCACTATAGCTTGTGCAGCTGCAGTCATGCACGCTTTTTAACTTTTCTTCCATTACGGATGAGGGTTCTCAACCAAGTGTTAATTCACCAGTTTTAAATAAATCTGAAATGACACCTTTAGCCGCAAGCACGGCTTGAAGAGGTTCACAAAACCACTTAAGAAGGTTTTAATGCTTTCATTTCCAGTAACTGCTCCCTCAGCCTCGTACAAGCCCCCCTTTTGTGCGGTGCAACTCACCGTGTGGCTCGTTAGAAGCTCTAATTTAGTGTCTGTGGGTCAGCGTGACGTCTGTTCTGCTGACGTTCAGAGCCAAACACAGATGGGTATTATAAGCAGTGCTGAGCTAACCGTGACACTTTCCAGCAGTAGTCTTGGTCACGTTTAGTTAAACTGACTAACTTATTCAAAGTTTACAGGGCGGCTGATTCTTTACAACTATATTTTGTGCCAATAATTACAGTATTCTTTTTTTCCCATTACTTTGCACTTTATTGAAACTAAAACCAACATGTTGTGGGGCTGTATGCAGGTGTTGCTATAATAAAGACCAACTTCACTAAAGTTACTTTGTTTGGAGTTTGCTTTTGCCTCTTTGGGTGACTCGAACATGAAGAATCAAATCATCCTCTTATCTACAGAGGATCGGTGTCTTTCAATTCAACACACGTCAATGCAGCTTTCTACACTTGTGTTTCCCTGCTGGTGCCTCTGCTCTGTATAGCAGAGTGGTCAGTGTCAAACAGCTGGCAGCATTCAGCGGATCCTGCTGCTGAATGCAATAGCATTAATACAGACAAAAAAAAAAAGGCATTGAAACCAGAAAATTTTTCCACCAATAACAGTCGAATCTGAGCCAAACATATTTTTACACTGAACCTTTTATTAGCTAGGCTCATATTTAAAGTAGAAACCACACTACAAGTTTTCTCCTCTTTACAAAACTTCTTATGTACACTACAGTGCAGACAGTAATACCAACTAAAATGAAAAACAAACTAAAGTTGAGATAAATAAACTCTGCGAAAACAACGCTGGTCCCTGAGGACGTCCTTGTTTTCATCCATAACTTCTGTCACATTTGTACAAAAAATATATAAGTTCCTGTCATGTTTCTGTAACATCAAAAACCCCAAAGCATAGAAAGAGCTGCAGAGCGCCTTACAACTGGTATTAAGTGCTTGGTTATCTCCTCTGTCTCCCCAGAGCCACGCAGAGACCAGTTCTATCAACGTCCTTTGAGGCAGAGAGAGCTAAGGCGTTATCTTTCATTTTCCAGGATTTTGCAGGCCTTCGGTGCAAATAACCAAGGAAAACACAACTCTAATTTTCAGATATCATTCTTCTGAGTCATCCAAGTGTAAACCGCAGATTTTTGGAGGCTTTTCAGCAGTTTTTGAGACCAATTTAAGGCTTTGCACTCCTTTTCCAGAGTGAACTTGCACAGGCGACTCCTGAAAAGGACAGAGCTCGAGCCCTGCGTGTCTCTGGAACGTCGAGTAGTTCACAGTAAAGGACAGGCACTGGGGAAATGTCGCGGGCTACATTAGCAAGTGGGCTGTACTCCAATATTGAGAGTAAAAATCAAGACACTGACGACGAAAGGTTCCACTACTGTGGGACATGCAGGCTGACTCTTAACGTCAGATACTTGGAGAATCATACACTCGTCATAATTACAAAGGACCGTCAATAATTTATTGTACTTTCAAACATAAGAGGTTACTTCAGTCCCTGGTTGATAAATAAATATTTCATAGACAGAATGTTGAACACCGTAGAGAGACTGGACTTCTGGTAAATAGATAAATAGTGCTTTGGGAATGAGCTCTCAACAGTGTACCATCTGTTTTCAAAGTGTCTTAAATATGAGTTTTAAAAGAAAAAACACAAAAAATGAAGAACTAGAGGCCTGACTTAATTTTTAGTCTTGGAAGAACCTGAAATAACCCTGTCGATAATCGGACATAATCCGTGATCCAAGGTGTCTAATAATGATAATAATGATAATAATAATATCAATAATATTTACACTGATGTTGATATAGACATTAAAAAGTGCTGTAAAGAGTCACATTTTGGAAGTGTTGACCTAAAGCATATCTATATTGCTCTTTGACTTCTGGTACTTCTGTCCAAATCTTCAGATGACTCTATAAGTAGCTGCATATTTGTTCAAATTCAGCTGCAGAAAGTCGAGAATTTGTGGCAACGACTACCCGAAACTTCAAACTGTGCCGTAAAAACAACCGAGTGAGGATTTTTAGAGGAGACAAATACGTTTGTGGATGCGTCCTGAATGCTTTTCCTGAGACTCAGTTGGGTCAAATTCCAGATAATGCCACTAGAAGAGCTCTGACTGGTTCCGAAGGAAAACTGAACTCTGGTTAGTTTACCTGCCTGACTAAAAAGATTTTGTCTGTATGAACGAGTCTATTTTAGTGATTGACTTTTGATTTGGGGTCTCCTTTTCTTTGGTAGAACTGAAATACTGCTAAAACGTTCTTATTTGCCAATAAAATTCTGGAACTGATTGGGAAAGCCATATCTTTTGGTGACATTTGTCTCTTTAAAAATCTGAAGAAAAAAACAGTGAAACGCAACAAAGTTTTAGATTCAGCAGGTTACTGCTGAGCATTATTGCTCTAAATACATTATGAGGGAGAGTCCTGCCATATTCTATTCTGATCAATATGTGGATGCAAAATACAGCAGGGGAAATGTGACCTCTTATCAATACATGGCTACAGTGAATAGTAGTGCCTGGCACATCTTAGTTCCAGAAAAAGAAAAACCTTAAAAATGGAAGCATTTGCCGTGAGTTTCAGGGGAAAAAAACAGCTAAACACAACCATACAGCAGTTTGCAGACCAGGGACCTCATTCGAACCACAAACCTCAGTCTTTATCTAAAATCCCAAAACAATCGACAATCACTAGTCAAATCTAATAGTTCTGCCCTCGTGATATCAATAGAGGCAGCTCGATCCAGTCCGTTCCAAATATTTTGTCTTCTTTTTACACCGTTTTACGACAACACAACCCAAATAAAACCTTGTACATATACAGTCATTTAAAATCAAAATCAGTATGTACAAAACTACTATAAAATCTGTTTCTGCTCCTCTTCATGCCTTGCGGGAGCGGAAAAGATAGCAGGAGAGGTTTGGGGGAGAGGAGGGGGAGGAAGAGGGGGAGGAGGGAGAGGCGGTGAGGCGGAAGGAGGAGGAGGAGGGTGAGGAAACGACTGTGAAAGAGGGAGCTGAACCTGCACCTGGGCTGAGGTTTGGTACTGTGGTGGTAGGGGGTAAGAGCCCGGTGGCTGAGAGAGGAAAGACTGTGGGGGGAGGAAGGGGTGAGAGGGGAAGGTGGGGTGCTGAGGGGGGAAGAAGGCCTTGGCAAACTGGTGCTGATAAGACAGATGAGGTGGGAGAGACTGGGAGCTGGTGAGGGGGGTGTTCGGGGGGGACAGGGGGGGCATTAAGGGCGTCTGGAAGTAGGGCTGAGACTGGGGGCTGATGTCTGCCTGGTGTGAAGCATGGAGGTGGCTCATGTGAACGGAGCGAGGCGGCCCCGTCTGACCCAGGAAGGAGTTGAGGTTTTGCGGCTGAGGGAGGGAGGGGTTAGAGAGCGGATTAGGGGGGAAAGCTGGAGCTCTGTTAGGCAGGTGGGAGTGTGGCAGCAGAGGGGGGAACGAGGGAGGAAGCATCTGCGGGAGGTGAGGAGCAGCTAGGTGCTGCATGTAAATTCCTCGCCTGGCGGCGTCCTGTGGCGGGAGCATCTGCAAGTCTGAAGGAGTCCTGGCGTCATAGTCTGGACTCTGAGTCCAGGTCTCTGGGGCAGTTTGCGTCCGCGTGTCCGGCAGCGTGTGAGTCCAGGAGTCCGCTTGGGAGCAGTGCGTCTGTCCATCGGCAGCAGGCGACCCCTGACAGGTCTGAAGCTCCTGCTGCGGCTGCGTCCGTGAGTCTGAGAGCACATCTGGCCTCAGCTGGAGGGAGTCCTGCTGCCGCTGCGGCTGAGAGGAGGCAGGCAGCCGACAAGGAGAGGCAGGGAGCGTGACACGGGAGTCGGCTGGAGGCTTGGGACTCGTCAGGGGGGAGGAGGCGGCTGACAGGGACAAAGGTGTGCACAGGAGAGCCGTGGGAGAAGAGGTAGAAGATGAAAAGGACGACTGAAAAGAGGTGACAGGAGATCCTGTTGAAAACGTTGCCGGGGTGGAAGACGTAGAAAAGGTTGTAGAAAGGGAAGGTGTGGGAGCTGAGGAGGAGGAGGACGCTTTACTGGAAGACTGTGTCCTGCTGTCTAAGCGATGATGGAGGAGGTGGTGAGACTTAAAGGAGGCTTTAGGTTTCACGTTCTTTTGGAAAGGAAGAGAGGAAGGAGGTGGCCGAGGGAGAGGTGATGGGGGTTTGTTTTTGCAGGTCGGATGTTCGGCCTTCAGCTTTGCTGGAGGAGCATCCTGATGCTCTGATTCTCGGGCTGCCTTTAGGCTCTCTGTCACCTCCACTTTGACCCGTGGGCTGCTAACCTTTGAGTTAGCAGGCTGAGACATCAGAAATGGATTCTGTGGTCGACCATCATGTTCCTCTTTACCACCGAGCAACGTCCTGTTTTCTGCCACTTCTACCTCTTCATTTTCTTCCTTTATCCTCCCCTTCACCCTGCTCTCATCCATCGTTGCTCCCTTCCTCTCCCTTTCTTCAGTCTTCTCTTGAGCCGCTGTTTCTGTCTCCTTCATCTCAGGCTGCTCCTCCTCCTCCCTCAGCTCCTCGTGCTCCTGCTGTCCCTCTGCTCGGTGGTACAGCTGCAGGCGGACGTGCCAGGCCAGGCTGCAGACGGCAGACACCGTCTTGAACTGGTGGACCACGTTTCGGGGGATGAAGTAGACGTCGTCGTGGCACAGGCGGATGCGGGCATAGCGAATGCCCTCCCTGCGCAGCTGGTTAAGTTTGGCGTCGTCCACCCACTGCACGCACTGCAACGAAAGGACGAGACGTTTAGCAATCCAAAACATCCAACATCCTTACAGGAACCAAAAATGATATAGATAAAACATGTAATTGTGTATATACTAAAGTCTTATGAAGTCACATTGTTTTATGTAGAAATCCAAATAGAAAAACATATATTCTGACACTTTATAAAAGTAGTGAAAAGTTCAGTTTATACGTTGCCGTGTTTAACTCTACTTTAAAAAATGCTGAATAGACTATTGGGGAAGAAATGCATTTTACACACAAATAATTCAACTGTGAATATCGAACACTGAACTCACCCTCCCTCCAGTCCTTCTTATGACTAACTTACATTTTCTCTCCAGCAGGTGGCAGCATCCATCATCAGTTAGGCCGCTGCTAGAGTGCCATAATTGGGATATTTCTGTTTCTAACCTGGGAGGGGAGCAGTGCTTCCTGCCATGCAGCGTGAGCGTGTGTGTTGTGTGTTTGTGTTGTGTGTGTGTGTGTAATGCAACACCTGAGACAGCGGGGGTTCATGTAAGTCCAGCTGCAGCCTCTCAACAACATAAGGGAAGTCACCAGCGTGGAAACATATAACATCTTTGGTTACACGAGGAGGCCCCGGGCTGAAAAGCAAGGTGGGGGGGGGGGGGGGGGGGGGGGGGGGTGAGAGGTGTTAAATGCTACCTGTCCTTCAGTTAGTTGTGAAAACACCAGGCGTGTGTCACCTTTAGACAAAAAGGCAGTGACATCAGAGGTGTGTGGGTCTATGGGTGTCTGTGTGCGTTTGTGAGTTTTCCTCTACGCTTCATTGCCTACTTTTCTGCAGCGCACGCAGCCTTCAGCACCCCCACCGCCGCCGTGGTCTGGCGCTCAAAACCCTGCCCGATGTGATCGGCGTGGGCCCGAGTCCGGTCCTCAAACAGCATCTCTCGCGGCTCGGAGGTTCTGGGCAGCGACTGCAGGAGGTTCTTCACCTCGTTGGTGGAGCTATGAGGAAAAAGTGCCCACACAGTTCATGTCTGCTTTCATGCGGTCTAAATAAAGAAAAAAAGATGACTAAAAAGCTGAGTGGGATGCTCGCTGGTCTCTTTGTTTGCCGTCTGCCAGCTAAAAGCAGGAGGCAGACTTTATCTGCAGCTGCTGTTATGATCTCTGTTGACTTTTCGGCTTGGGTCAACATTCATTAAAGATATGATTGATTTTTACTTGACTTTTACCTCCAGTAAATGTGAGAAAATCACAAAGAGGTTTATTACAATCTGGAAGAGTCATATCATGGACTCATGGAAAATAAATCATGGAAACACTGATTTTTTTTTTAAAATAAAATAAATCTAATCAATTCCATCATAATATTTCTTTATTATTAATAGACTCAATTGAGCCTCAATTTAAATCACTTCACAGCATACTGATAGAAAATGAATTTAGGAAATATTGGATATATGTATTTGATGCAATATTAATGGCACTTATTAAATAAATAGAGAAATGATATTTACGTTATTTTTTCAAATTAATGTCATGAAATTAACCTCACTGTTTATTGCATAACTTAAACTGCTGGCTAGAATACGTCATTTCAAATTAATGAAAATTGTAACAGTTCCTTTTTCTCCCAGTTATTACAGAAAATAGTTAACAGGCACATCCAGAATTACATCAAATGAATGAAAGCTAGAGCAGGCATCTTTCAACCACTGTTTTGTGCCATTGTGTGAAATAATTTTAATATACACACATACTGTATATATATATATATGCACCATCTTTATGTTGAGTTTTCATGCATGGACCTTCCACACTTTGTCACATGAAAAATAAGATATGGGAACACCATCTTCTCTGCTTTTTGTTAAAAACAGCTGTACTTTAAACAGTAAAATTTGAAATGCAGTAGACATACAGGAAGACATACACAGCCAGTAAGTTCACACCTGACTTCATGCATACAGAGTGACACACTGAGGAGTAAAAGCATAAAAATGAGCCGTGCTGCCAAACAATAGAAGCACTGCAGTCAGCTCACTGCTGGATCAGTGACTCACACTGGAGCTGCAGTCAGATTCAAACACCAGTAAAAAAGCACACACACACACACACACACACAGACACACACACACACAAAACCTGCGAGATTCCTTCGAGAGCGTAACACAGACACGCACAAACACAGCCGGAATAGCAGCGAGGCTACCCATGCTGAACACGGAGCTGGGCGCTCATTCATTCACAGATAAGAAGAGCGAGGCGTGAGCTGCTGGAGGAGGGAAAAGAAATGGAGGGAAATTGTGCAGCCTGGAAGGGGAGATGAAACACACACACACAGGGCTGACTGCTGGCTGACAGTAATAAATGTAAAACCAGTACAGATAGCATAAAGGAGTGCTGAATGGTCCACAGAACCCTATTTCAAGTCTTGTGTCGTCTATAGATCCTTAAAAAGCCTCCTGTGTGTGAGGTCCTGTTTGTGCTGTTTACCACGAGCAAAACCCACGGCCAGGACAGATTCCTGTGTATTAATGACCACATAAGAGAGGGCACATGAGGAATAAATACTTTTTTGATAACGAAGGAAAAGAAGAAGTGGAGAGTAGAGATAAGGCAGAAAAACGAGGGGAAAAAGAAAATAAGAAAAAGAGAAATAGAATAGCATTTACTAGAATTGATGTCAGTTCCTATTTTCACCAGTTGTGTACACCTAAATAATTGAAAAAAATTTATGATAAAAGACCCAGTTAGAACAAAGAAAAACACAGATATACAACTGTACTTTGATCCCATAAGTTTTTTCAAATTCACTCAACACTTTCTCATGAATGTTCCATCACAGATTATTTTGATAGCGTTTTATAATATTACCGCTGCAACTTTTCTATTTATTTATTCATTGCTTCAGCTGTATATTTTACTCATTGCAAGGCTCAAAATCAGCTCACTTTTTATCTGATCCAGAACGCAGGGTGGTTCATCGAGCTCTGTCTGTCTCCTGAAGATAAATGACAGCCCTTAACTCTGGAGCTGAAACACAGTGGTTTATTTTCATTGCTGGCTGACTATAATCAGGCTGAATTCTCAGACAGGGAGATTTGGCCCTGACCTATTCAGTCAAACCACTATGAAAAAAAAAAAGGGAGATTTTGCCCATCCACAAGCCGTCGCCATATTTTTCTTTAAACCGCAGTCGGCCGAACAGCCGCCAATGACTCACAGCAACCAAGATCACGTCCTTATCTCTTTCATAAGTTATGTGCCGCTCCGCAACATGGTCATTATGTTCCTATTTATCCACAGTTATCACATTTTAAAAATATCGGCTTTTTCAGAACTCACGCTCGGTTCCTGAAAACACACAATTACCACTATAAATCATCATAAAAGAGGTAAAAGGAGGCCAACAGAATGAAGCACAAGACAGATGCAGATCATATCTAGAGGTCAGGAGAAAAGGCAACAAGGAAAATTTTTTTTTTTATTTTAATATTCAAAATTCCATTTTGAGAATGAATTATAATTAACATCCCAGCCCTGATTGTAAAAGTGAATTTGTTTTCTTTTCCCTCCTTGCAAAAAAATATTTAATGAAATTAAGGGAAAAAAACATTTACTGTATGAGGTAATTCGTTCATTGATTTCTTAGCTATTAAAATGTGTAAACCAATAGATATAATTGTGATACAAGGACAGAATGGAGACGATTTAGAAAATCTTCTGTTCCTTTCATAAAAATGATTAAAGTTTTCAGATTAAACAACATCAAATCAATCAGTATGAAAGAAACATTAATGCTGGTGTGGCTGCTGAAGAGCAGACACAGAGAGGGGAATAAATGAGGCAAAGGAGGAATGTGTGTGCTGAGCGCTGTCCCATGTTTGGCTCACAGCCATGTGAAGGAGTGTCTGATGTAAGGATGATCTCATCTGAGCGGTGAGCCACACACCGCTAGCGTCCCACACAAACAGAAACCCCCTTCTCACTCGCTGTCTCGCGCTCAGAAAACGTGTGCTCGTGTGTTCGAGGCAGCCCTGACACGGTGACACCAGTAAACAGAAATGGCTAATTGCCTCATCCGGCTCTGCTTGACTACAACAAAGCCTCATGCTGATACTACGGATGCTGCTTCAAATGAGTAAAGAGTGTTACTCCCCTTTAATAATCAGTCCTAAAGGGGCAGCCTGGAGAGTACAAAGGACAGCTGGCTCAATACGGAATAAACAAGCACGTGGTCCCCGAGTCGGTGTACATACAGACCCCACATCTGTCTCATTGCATGTAACGGGCAGTTCACTGCTGGACTCACCGCTTTCTTTTGAAAGGAGACTTTGGTATGTCAGCTACAGGTATCATCTGTTCTCCTGGTCTGACCCACATTATCGGACCATCGTCACTCTCTGTCGGGCTCATGCTCCTCAGACTGGAGAGCGTTCCCCACGGAAGAGTGCGCTGCACCCAGACAGACAAGAAGAACAAAACAATGATGGGAGGGGGATAACCACAACACAATGTTGATCAAATCATCCTTTACGCTGGCCTCCCCAATACTGGGCCCTGGTGCTCTGAGCCCCAGATGAACCAGATACAAAGCCCCTGCCTCAGAGACACCACAGGACGTGGGTCTCTTCATGACTCTCACATTGCATGCAGGAGGTTTGAAGAATCAACAGTACTTTGAAGCTCTCTTATTGCAAAGTTATTGAGGAAAAAAAGCTTTCTTAAATGGAAACTGGGACCTGCATCAAATCAATTCACACACAGCTGAACGCCTCGTTTCCCAGACGTGGCTCAGAATATTGTGAGAGCTGCTGAGGCTTGTGTCAAGGTGTATTCTATCAGAAATTTCAATGTGTTTGTTGGCTGAGCAGTTCGTATTTAGTTACACAGGCTAAGGACACAGTCAGCTTTCCCGCTCCTTTTATGTCACTAATGAAGAGAAGCAAATAATGAAGTTGAATCTTTTTTAATATTTATAATTTAATATGACAAATATTATATTTGTAATAAATATTCCCTTACATATTTTTAAGCTAAACATGCTGATTTATTTGCTGCTTTGTTTAGACTGATGCACATTTAGCAGGGTCTGAATCTCTCTGTCTGTTTACATTCCATAAATCTATCGTCCAAGCAGCTCACAAGGATTCCTGACATTCATCCAGCTCACGCTCACCTTCAGGAAGGGGGAGTCCTCCAACAGGCTCAGGAATTCTGGGAAATAGTCCCCAACCTCTTCGTCCACGGCTCCCACCAGGCTGATCTGCCTCATTGCTCCGGCCCGGTACGTACCATGACAGTAAGTCTTCTTCACCTAATGAACAAGAACGCCAAACATCGTCACGTTTTTCAGGTATAATGTTTCAGATGAATTGTAAGCCATCAGTATACAATTACAGATTTACTCGTGAGATACAGTGAGTATCTGTCAGACTGATGTTTTCCTCCCTGGAGAGTGTGGGAGAAAACAAATCCTCACACACAAGGATTACAAATGATTCCTTTCTGATTGGTGTTTTTTTCCCCCAAATATTTTCAGGCTGATCTACTTGGAAATTCTCCAAGAAAAAAAGTGTTTCAGTGGCACTGTCACTGTTTAGGAGTTAAAGTGTGTGGGATTAAACCAGATTTGAGCTTTGATCTTTCTTTTAGTTTGCCTGAGAGAGAAGCCACACCAGAACAGGCGGTCTTAAGTTTGGCCAAAAAAAAGCATTAAAATGACACATGAAAGCCTCTAAACAGACACTCTATGCTTGTGTGTGTTAGCGTTTTTTATGTGACTCAGACTGTTTGCTGCCTTCACTTGGCTGACAGAGCATCGTGTGTCTGTCTCCCCGCCTTTCACAGCCTCGGCCCTCAACAGCGTCTCTGTGCGTGCATGTGTATGCAGTACGTGCAGCATGTGGCCTGCATGCTGTACTGTTGGATGATCAGGAAGTGTGTATTCATGTGTGTGTGCGCGCCCTCGCCAAATCTTTGGCTGCACGCCTTGAGTGAGTCACCACTTGACAACGAGGCAGAGATAAAGGGAGGGAGCAGGGAGAAGACTCAGGATGCACGGGAGAGGAAGAATGTGGGGAGGAGACACAGATGGAGAGAGGTGGTGAGAAAAAGGAGAGACCGTTTAGGAAGATAAGCTGTGAAAGGAATACAAATCAAAAAAGGAGGGATGGGATATAGGAAGAGAAATTGAGACAATGGAAATAAAGGAAAACAGAAAGCGATAGGGAAAATAGAGAGGGCAGATAAGAGGATGGGGAGAAGGTGCACCCATCTCCACACAACTATTTTAAAGCTAACATTAAAAAATGAAAAAAGAGAGAAACTGAATGTCCATTCATTGATTGGTGCAAACACATTTAGAAATATTCTGTTTATTCTGTTTTCTGTGCACGTACAGGCCAGGTCTCGTGGCTATTTGCTGTGTCTTATCTTATTGCGTGACATTTGTGCCCCGACTGTGATGACTAAAAGTAGGACACATTCAGCCCACACATATAAACACACAAGGAAGTTAAAAACAGTGTTATTGAGTCGTGAGAAATGTGTGTGCGCATAAATTCAACCTCAAGCTTCCAGCTAACCTTCGGTGGCCACAGAGAGCCACGGCGTTTACTTGTGAGTGCCAGCGCTTTTCTGTCGGCGTCATTTTAATTAGCTGTGCCGAGTGTCTGTTCCTGGGTGTGTTTACATGTGCATAATTTAACAGCTGAATAGCCCTCCATGTTGTTTGGACAGTCTCACCATCGCAGAATGAGTAGAGGGGAACACGGCCCATGTCACCATTGAACAGGTAAACAGCTTTTACAGCTAGCGGCTGGCTCTCTCTGATAAACGCAGGCTCGCAGCTTGTCCTTATTAACTGAAGCCCCCCAGACGGAAATGGAACAAACTTCCTCTGAGCAGCTTTCCTCCAGGCCTTCCTCTGAGTACGTGAGTGTGAGCACACTCTCCTCGAACTTTTTTACTCACATCATCTATTCTGTTACTGTCAGCCTCTCCATCTCCTCCACTGCCCATTTCCCTCATCATACACCGATCCCCAGTGGAAAGTCTACTACACCTCTCTCCTTCCTTAAGACCTCTCAGTCTCCGCCTTAGCAACTTGTTAATTCTGTAATAACCCGCAGCGCCTTTCATCAGTTCATCGTGGCCAGGTTCATGTGATGCCATTATCCTGTCACTCTATCTGACCTTTCTCTGTGTTATCTGGCTGCTTGCAACACCTTCTTTAAAAACAATCTCCGTCTCTCTTTCTGAGTCATTATACCCAGTCAGACTCCAGACAACTAAGTCTATTAGTCTGCCCTGCGTCACAGCAAAGCTTCTGGCTGCTGACTGGTGCTTACGACACAACTGGACGTGCTTTTGTTTGATAAGCTCAGCGACAAAGAGCGGCAGAAGAAAGCACAAACGCACCTTAACTGCATGTAACACCACTGATGCCCCCATGTGCTCACCTTCAGATACAGAGGAAAAAGGAAGAGTGATACTTCCTCCAAAGCGATTCTTTGAAACCATAGTTTAAAGAGAAAAAGGAAAGAAAAAAGAAAAAAAGCAACCCTACACCATCATGAACATATCACCCCCCAGTAACCAAGCACACCAACAGAAATGCAATTTGAACTCAAAAGGCTCTGTAATCTCCAGCCTTTGTAACTACACATGAATTGATTCAAACATTGAGTTTGTTCCTGTTGATGACAGCCTTGTAAAGAACCTCACTGTGTTTCTATTGGACAAAACCATAGTTATACAGGAGTTGTTTGGGCTTAGCTTTACACAGAATCCTGTGTAATACCTTGAATGGGTTTGGTCTAAAACACTGTTCCTATTCAAAAAGAATAAGCTGAAAATTCATCATAAAACTATTGCCAATTTGAGACTTATTTGCAACATTTTCTGTCCATCAAAGCCGGAATGACTTCAACAATAGCAGAAAGCACTTAATTTGGTTCTGTATTAATCTCTTGATGTTGTGACTCTATCTCTACGCTCACTAAACAAGAAAGACCAAATTACCTCCGCACAGCACAACGTGTATTGACTGCTGGGCCATGCTCCCAGATAATGGAGCTCTGTAATCTTACATAATCCCTACAAGCTGAGAAAATGGCCTCAATCAGGTCCTAAATTCAAAACACTAAATTTGAAGACTGCAGCCACTTTCTGAACATCGCAAATACACTGCGAGTCCCTGGAAGTTCTGACACAAACGGCAGATATAACCACAAAAAAAAAATACACACACAAACACACAAGCTGCAGTCCTTTCCTTTCTCCTTTTCTCTCCCTCTTTTCTGCACTCTCATACAAAAGGCAGCAGTGCAGTCATTCATAGCTGGAACACAAAGCTTCTACACAACAGAGCAGAACCACGGGGTGGAGATAAAAGAAACCAACAGAGAGAGGGACACAAAAAGACATGAAGAAGAGCAAGAGGAGGAAAAACAGAAAAAAAAGGGGATGATAAGCCATTAATCTCTGTGAGTATACCTGTCCCTGTGTAAACGTTATCAGTATGCATGCTCACATCTGTGTGTGTATGTGTAGACTGTACATCTACATCCCAAGGTCACTGCTGAGAGCTACGATGGAGGAAGAATTAACAAGGCCAGCGGACAATGACGTTAGCCCTGCAAGGAACATTACTCTTACAAAGGACTGCGCAAGAGACGGGTTTGCAGAGAAGAGATTACATCAAATGCAGACAATGGACAATTTAGAACTGTATTCTGTCTATTAAAAACGAGGAGCAGATCAATGTCATGTGTTGCACAGGCAAAGGAAAAGAGGAAAAAAAACTCTGAGCATCGGGAAGATTTCTGAGAGGGGACCACGGCATAAACTGATGTATCCCCTGCAGTTCACGCACACTTAAACTGGAAAGAGCGGGTGGTATCTTAATACAAAGCCACTCTGGAGGTTTGAGGCAACAAAAGGCTTTTCACCACCGACCTGCAGGCGCAGGAGGCGTCTATGTGAGAAACTCTAGCTGTGACACTGTTCAGGACACAATCCAGAGCAGCCAACACCGGAGGAAAATCACACACACGCTCCTTTCTTGTTCTTCCAGTTGTCCTCAAAGGTTGTAATGTTCAGGGGCAGCTGAGAGCCGAAACCTCTCAACTATAGTTGCAGCAGCACTCAAAGACAACAAACACCTTTTTATGTGGTTCTGACTCTTCAACTTGACGTACTTTGAGCTTGAACCTCCCTGACAGCTCCCATCTGTCAATCTGTTAGCTCATCTCTCACCTTTTTTTTATCTCAAACCAGCTTTTTATATCTCTTCACATCTAGGATTTTTCGTATTATTAATTAGGATCATCCAGTTGTGTTCCATTTCCTTTCTTGCTCACATGAAATTTGTCTGCTCCTGAAGTGAGCAACATCACCAATTTGAGCTTAGCACACGACTCTGTTGCTTCTAATAATGTTTTCATCTAGTCTAAGAAATCAGACACCGGCATAAATGCCAAAAGCCGTTTAATGCTTAACAGACGGAGGCAGATGCGTAACCAGATGGCTAAAACGACAACACAGCTTTATCAGATACACAGAGGTTACCCCATGTTTTCAATCATTAAAATCTGACATGAAATTCACTATCTGGGGTCAGATTACAAGACAAAAAAAACACCCTTAATATTCAGCCTTTGGATGCACGATGTGTGTCTGTGTGTAAAACACTAAAATCAACATCACACATTTAAATAGCAAGTACTGTATATATTACATTGTCATACACATTTCTCCTTCTCCATTAACACTTGTGAAGTGTGAGTTTTATAAACTATTTCAAAGGATAAAAAGTGTGCATCCATAAAACAAAACCGAATAAGTGTCTGAAGCTTTCCTCAACTTGTTTCTCACGTCAGACAGCTCACCATCTGTTTTGAGCTCTCCGGGTCTACAGCTGAAGAACTGAATAAGCAGAGCTCTGTTCCGCTTATGTCCCACCCACGCCTCACACAGTGCATTCTCTATCAAATCTGCGCTCCACTCTGTCTCATTCCGTCTGACTGACCTGAGAGTAGAAATTAGCCATAGTGGTTGTTTCTATGTCCTTCTTTCCCAGTATTTCCATTTTCACTGGTGCTGATGGGAACTTTGTTGAGAAGTAATCCAAGAAATCTGGTAAGTAGCTGGCTTCTCCATGAACAATCCCCATGACATAATGAGCAGCCTGCAAAAAGACAAAAAAGTCCCAAATTTGAGTTTGGAGAAATAAAACCATTTCTGCGTTCTGGTTCGTTCTAACTGATCGTGTCAAACAGTGGATGTCATACCTGGGATTTATCCTCACTGAACACCAAAGAGACAAACTCCTGGGCAAATCTCTGCCTCTGATCTGTCGAGAGAGACGAGAGTTGGGACGTATAGGCATGAGCCACCAGGGCTCCTCCATTAGGCTGGCTCTCTATATGAATATACGGGACAAACTCCAGACCAACCAGACCAGGATATGAAGACTGTGAAAGGGGTTTTACTGGTAAATGGATCTTAGGGGAGGACGATGGAGAGTTGAGGGAGTTGTGAAGAGAGGAATCGAAGAGGGATTTTGAAGGAGAGGAGGGCGTAAGGTGGGACGTTTTGTTGTTGGGTGGGGGGTAAACAGGCAGAGGAGATTTGAAGGGAGAAAGGGCGGAGCTGTTTGTAAGTCCACTGGGGGAAGAGGAGTTTGTGGATGCAGAGGAAGGAGGGAGGAGGAGCAGGCCGGCACAAATGGTTTGGCAGGAGCGGTGGAACATCTTCACTCGCTTGTGCCTGTCTCCTTCTTTGTGTTTCTTCTTCTTTTTCTTCTTCACTTTTTTTATTTGAAGCTCCTCTGAGTTGATCTTTGCTTTCTCTTTTTCTTCTGGACAGAGAGAGACAGAGGGAAAGACTCAGTTGTGTGATGTAAACACTTCAAGCTTGAAAATAGACGATGAAACAAAACACATGAGGGAAACCTTTTAATATCTATTCAGTCACCTACGATATCAAAACTTCTACTCAAAACAGTTTTTAATGCAATGCTTGAAAAAGCCTACAAACAATTTCACTTTTTACATGTTTACATCTTTCACATGTGTGGGATCTCCATTATTTCCACAGTCTGGGACACTGAAAACAACCTGAGGCCTGATAATTTCCACATCTAAAAAGACTGAAAGCAATCCATCCAAACTACATTAAGTACCTGTAGACGGGTGACTCATAGCTTTTCCCAAATGATAAGAATCTCCCGCAGTGTTTAAAGAAAGGAGCCCTAAAATGGAGTCCTTTGAAAAGAGCGTATCCAGCAAAGCCAGAAAACACACTTATCTGAGGAGAGGCAATACTGCACATGACAGTTCATCTAAATGCCCGAGGCAGGAAAAAATGGAACAATTTATGTTTCGTGCTACTGTAAATATTTGTCTGAGCAGATCAATTAGCAAACGTGTTGTGTGGTGACTCATTGCTGCTCTTCCATGTAAAAGTGGACATTAGTACACTGTTTGTGTGTGTGTGTGTGTACTGCAGGACTCAGACCGAGTCGCAGCTATCCTTTACACTCACACACACACATTTTCAGTCTGGCTTGACCTCTGCACACGTTTATTACCAGATGAGCGAGGAGTGGGACACAGATTGAAAAACAGCAGAGAGACAGAGAGCATTAAAAAGAGCAACACAGAGAGGGTATTTGCAGTACAATACAGGAGCTACTAATCCAAAAGCTCTTTAACCCTCACGTCACCCCTCCCCCTATTCCCTCGCACCACAGACAGACATTTATTTCCAAATCTCAGCCTTCACCAACGGAATACTGATCTGATCGAAAAATTGGATATTGCGTTAGTGATGTGAAATGCTAATAATTTATGCTAAATATGTAATTTTATAGTCTTACGGCTAGAATTGAACGCTGAACCCTAAGATAAAGATGTAAAGCAATCAATTAATTGAGCACCAAATAAAATCACACAGTTTCAGAAATAAATTAGTCTCACCAATTGGGGATTTAACATGTATGTTTTCCTATAATATAAAGACAGTCTGAGAGATTCAGACGTAAAATAAATGTCATGATAATGACTTTTTAGAACTACTACTAGGATTGTGGGTATTTGACTAACAAATACAAGCTTGAGTGCAACTGTACGCTGTGCTGCCCTCTGTGAAGGTGCCGTAAGGAAATAGAATAAATAAATAACAGAAGAGTCAATTTGCTTGTTGACAAATAGCTGGAAATACCGATTTAGCTTGAGGTGAGAGCAGATCGGAAGATGATATCAACTGTGGCTTTGTAAAAAAGTTTAGCAGAACAGAGCAGTCCTATCACATTTCTGAATCTCAGCTGCCTCCTTATCACAAAATTGCCCCAGCAAAGCAGTATATCTTTCAAAAACCACTAAACTGTTTATGTTTTTCATTGTAAAGCGTGTAACTCGGATTAACTACTTTAAATGCCGTCTTGGAATTAACAAATGCCCAGGATAATATTGGGTTTTCTCATATAGAGCAGCAGTTTGCAGAGTCAGATTCTGTGAATTTGTTATTGTGGAAAGTCACATTTTATTAATGTCTACATTCATCTTAATATTTTTTCCAATATTCCACTCCAATCTTTACATATAACTCAGTTAGAACGTAAATAGTGCTTAATTAGACTTGCTAAGTGAACCCAACCGCTATAATCAGGCTTGTATATATAGTGAATCCTAACTTGCCCATGGTTCCAAAAAAAAAGAACAACTCAACTGTAGCACTGAAATACTGCATGGACCACTTTGCTGAAGTCATAATCAGTTTAAGGTCAGCAAGGTTTCCAGGCAGAGCAACACACAGCCCCACAGGCCATCTCGCTGGCAGCAGCAGAGCCTTACATTCGGATTGGTCGTTTGCTGCTTATTGATTTCCTATACGAGCTTCCACTGTGTGCTTCTCCCAGCGTAGTTCCTTTCATCTGTAAACTTAACACTCTCCTACTGATTAAATTCCCAACTTCCCCTCACTGTCACTCCTCTTGTCCATTTGCAAATCTAATACTGATTAAATGCCACACTCACCATTGCTGAAAACCTTCCTTCTGGCATGGAGCCCCCCCCCCGCCCGTTGCCCCCTCAGCTGACTGAAAATCTCACTGCGGATTTCACTGCGTCTCTATTATCGTAAACACACATGATTAAATACCAGACTCTCTCGCAGGATGACTGCAGGATTAACAAGCACTCGCTCTTGCTCGCCGTCTCTGGTAAAAGCAGCCTTCTCCCAACTCCTCGCACATAATGAGAAGATGCATCAACCTTACGAGGGTGCATGTCCTTTCCACAGAGAGCAGGAAGAGCGACATATCACAGATAATCTCTCTGTAATTTCCATCTGCACCCATTTGTCATGGTATGTGGCTAAAGCGCCACCAAGTCCTTGAACTGTCAGAGTGTGGTGGTGACATTCCTGCCTGGTAGACTGCCAGCCCCGCAACGTTAGAACAAATCAAATCAACAGAAATAACATTGGTACTCCTGGAACCCTACCAGAAACTGATGTTTGTGCACAAGTAACCCAAAAAAAAACAAAAAAATAAACCTTAAAGCCGTATGAAAAAAAATAAAAGAGCTGTTAACACGTGGCTGAACTCAGATTACCCACACAGATGGTGGCGGACATTACGGTCACAGAGCTCTGCAAATCATTTACTACTGTCAAATGGTAAACAATGAGAGCTGCCCATGCATTTATAAACACTAAAGAACTCGACTAATCTGCCACAGGGCTGGCACCAGCTTTCAAAGATACAGCTGTATTCATGCTCACAGAAATGAGGTTGTTCCTCAAACAATGAAGTCCAGTGGAAATCCTAAATACTGAAGGATTTTATGGGGTCAGCTGTCAGTGTATGTTCTGCTTATGGTTTGTTCTCTGTAATCACACACTTGCATGCATGGGCTGAATTGGATAAAGACAGAGAATCTTTACATGTTAATTGCCCCTTTCATGAAATGCATCTATACATCTCAGTTTGAAGGAAATGAAATGAACAGAAACGTTCTACATCCTTACATGTCAGAATTCGTGTTCCATGAGCTAACGTGGATTTAGACAGTCAGCAGAGCAAAGGACTGGTCAAAAAAGGAGTGCAGAAAAACAGGGAGCAGTGTGTGAAGAAGAAGGGCCGCGAGCGGAAAGACAGCCACAGAGAAAAGCCTTTACTACACGTTTCTCTGGCTCCGCTGGTGTGCCATGTCTCTCCACTTCTCATTTCCACGGGCACATTCAAAATCAGTGTGCACACAGACAAAAACACTGCGAGTCACAAGGCCTGACTAAATAAACCATGAACTCCACTTGCACATGTGACAAGAAAAGTGGTGCAAGAGTCAAGCTCAAGTCGGAGATCAAGCTGTCATGCTACTCTCTCTCCATTTTCGGCCACTCTCCACTTTCTGTACTGTGTCAGGCCAGCTGAACCTGTGGAGCTCATCACTTTTCACCAGACATCCCTCAGCCGTGTGTCTCACCCCCCCGCCCGTCACGTGCCGTGCATGAGTGTCTCCACCAACCTTTAATTGGCTGCTTGACTTCCCCGTTCTCCCTCTTGATCTCATTCATCACTTTGTGCTTCTTCTTCTCCTTCTCTTTTTCTCTTTCTTTAACCTTCTTCTTCTCCCGCTCTTTTGTCTTGTCTTTGCTGGAGTGCTCTGTGGAAAATGGGAAGCAGGATTCAGCTCTCGGTGGCAGAGACAAAAGAAAGGTTTTACCCCCCCCCCAACAAAGACACTTGAGTGTCTGAGCCGAGTTCATTCCCAAATCGTGAGTTTATTCCTTTGCTGTTAGAAATACTAGATGCCTCTTTTGCTTTTCAGCCCAGACTACTTTCTATTCTTGCAGCTTTCTGCCTGACAGAATCATCAGAGTGGTGAAGGAGTGTTACAGATTCAGAACCTGGAGTGCACTCAGATGCAACACACTCTGCAAATGCCAGCACACTGACAAACACCCTGACCCCCCGGCTGAGCTACAAACCCCCAAACCCCGCTTTTTAAAATCTTTTATTACTTCACTCCTTTCAGTCCTCATTTTCTTTCATTTCCTATAAAGAAAAATAACTTTTTTTTCTTCCAAAGTACTTTTAGCTGATTCTTTCTTTCCAAAGAACTTTTTTCTTTGAACTCTGTCAGATCTGTCTGTAAGAGGAAGCTGTGTTTTCAGACTGTTCACTCTCCTGTGGACGTAGGGAGTGGGAAAAGTGAACACAGCGTGGTGGACTCGCTGTTTGTCAGATCAAAGGAGAAAAGCCTTTGAAAGTAGAAAGTCTAATAGGAGCAGCAGAAGAATTAGATGTCCACCAATGCACCCTTGCAAGGATACTATTTAAATAGAAAATCTGGAATTTTTTACTTTAACAGCAAAGTTAACTCTGCTACTTAACACGTGCTACTCATGGTTTTCATATCCTGGGTTTAATACGGGGAATGCCACAAATGTTCACAAACTATTTCCAGGACCCTGCGAAATAGATGCTGTAAAATTACAAGACACTGTAAGCTGCCTGGCGGAAAAAAGATCAGTTTCAAAACATCAATTTAGCTCCACAGGAAGCGGCCCACAAAGACAGGCTCAGATCTACTGCCAGATTTGGAAAAACATCAGAGCGTGCCAGAGCTGTAACATTCATAAAAATTACATTTACAGCCAGTTGGTGATATGAGAACAGGTGGCTGACCTGGCTTTAAAAACGCTGGAAAATATGTATAATTTACTAGAGTTTGACAGAGACATGTTCAAATTGAAATGGGGAGATGGTCTCTTTGAAGCTTTGCAAATGCAATGGGCTAAAAAAACAGGTCTGTATAGTAGGAAGCCCCCCCAGCTGTAAGGGTCACAAAGTCCTGCTGAAAATGGCCCTAAACATGTTAGGAAAATCTAGGAAGAGGAAGAAGTTATTTCATATAAAGCAAGCACAAATTGGGATTTTTTCCCTTTAAAACCTCTTTTGACATGTTGAAGCGGCCCTTTTAGGGGGGGGGGACTCAGCAGAAGATTTGAACTGTTTTGAGGAAAATATAGCACAGATCACTGGAATATTGTTTTGGAGAGCTATTGAATAAGAACTAATAAGGGGATTTAGGTTTTTTTGTAAACATAACTGTCCTTATGGCCATGGGCTTCTTCCACTAACTTTCTGAGTATAAAATGACTTGTGCTGTCAGCTTAAGCCGGTAAAATTGGCATCCAGCTTTTCAAGTGTGTCTGCAAGATGACACAGACAAACCTTTGGAGGATGTTGCCAGTCTCTTGCCAAAAGCATACACAAATACACACAACAAACACTCAGCAATCCTCAATAAAACAACTTGGACTTTTTTTTAAAAGGCTTTGGCTCAAAATGAATCATATTTTTCTCTATAATTCTGTAAAGGCCTGACGGGGCATTTGATGTTAAAATGGTGCAGTAAATATAACACAACTGGAATCGGAATTAGGTCATCACTTATAAATATAAATAATTAACCTGTAAACAACTGCTTTCACATGCTGACCAAAACCACTATCATTTTCCAAAGGTTTTCTCTCTTTTGCACCAGTTGTTCGTTTCACTATTATTTCCTATATTTCCTGTTTCACCACCTAATGTAACCAGCACTACTCCAACACTTGCTTTTTGCCTCACTCTGACAAGCAACGCTGCCACTAATAATATTACAGTGAGGATTTGATACTCTCTGGATCCATGTGGATACATTTTTTCCTTGGAACAGATCAGAGCACAGCTAGGCTCTGCCCAAAGCTCAAGGACGTTTCCTCTTACTATACCTCAAACTATGTCCATGTATGTAGGGGATTCCTGTTTAAAAAAAACAATATTGATACCTTATACAGTATATATATATATACACTAAGCAATAACAACATTTATATGAATCTAAATCCCTAAATTAAAGTTACCTTTTTTAACAACTGTAAACACATCCAGGGTATTAATTTGATACCGATTTGAAAGCAAAATACTATTTACAATCACTGTTTACAAGAATAACATTAAAGTGACTTTCAACACAAGCTTTTCAAAATTATGTAGGTTAATGTTTCAGAGTAACAAGCCAGCAAGACATCCCATCCTTGTATCCTGCCGGCATGCAGTAGCCATTCAGTGTATGTCATAACCTTTTTACCCACCCAACTGGAAAAGGGTGACATCATGCACTAGACAGTGTGTCTAAATACTGTCACATAAAATAACATGTACATGAATTGTAAAACAAAAAGTGGAAGCATGCACTGGATCTAGAGTCCAGTCAGATGTTAAAAGAATTAAATAAGTGAAAAATGACAAGCAAGTAAGCAGTAATGGGAGCAGTCATTGAAATGAAAATTGTTGGCAATTTGGCTCCATCCATTTGATTATATTAAACAAAGACACGAGTAAAACTGATTCACACAGAATGACATAAATAAACACCTTATTACAAAATTCATTCTAAGATATGCAGTCAAATGTTTAATCTTGCCTGTCATTTAAAGAAAATGTGTTTTTTTTTCTAACAAATAAATCCGGACTTTTAACTCTTGTCCTTTTTTTAAAAAAAAAGCAACGTGCAAGTGCAGAATCTGAATGGAGATAAAAACTTTAGAACAAAAAGATTATTTGCAACGTGACGGAGGTCAAACATATCAAAAGGTGGAGTGTTTGAGGGAGGACAACATTTTCTGTGTGTTCAATTGTGTAAACGAGCAGCACGGCCGTGTTTTGGCTGCTTGGGCCTGAGGTTACAGAGGGGGGCGTGGTGCTCCACCATGACAACACTAACGGATAATGGCGGGCGGCTGTCATATTGTTATGACAGCGGCTTGTGGCTGTGAAACATACACAGCTTCAAACGAATCAATTACACGCCATGTCAAAAAATACTGGACAGACAGGGAACGTTACACTAAATTGGACTTATTTCTATTTTGACAATACTGCCACACAGCTAATTGTTTTAGGGCGAATAATTGGATGTATTAAGTAGATACATCGTAGTTACGTAACAAATCCGCCGCAGCACGAGAGCAGCTGGTTACAATACAACCGCCAGGTCGCGAGACCACTGCCTGGAACGCTGCTCTCGCGGAGTTCAAGGGTTCGAAAACGGGTGAAGGAAAGCTGGCCGCCACGGTTCATCGACTCATTTATTAAAATGAGCTTTACAGTGACTAAACACGGTGTAAACAGTTTGCATAGCGAACCGATATCGATAACAATAACGTGGGCGTATTTTACACGATAGAACATAACGAGAAGGAGCGTTGTGAACAGTAGCTCGTCGGGACTGTCCAGACAATTTATAAGGTACACTCGGGGGGCCACATGTTCGTGTCCCAAGTGGTTGAATCTTCCATGAGCCAAGTAACTATTAAAGGGTCTGCCCTTTAATTACTTACTCTACCCATCGCTAGTTAAACATATACCAAAGTTTATACATTAAACAAGCATAACAAAAACAGTGGGAAAACATTATAATGGCCTACCTTTGGGTAATAACGTGAACTCTCCATTTTCTCTCTTCACTGCAGAAATGTTGATAAACCCGCGCGTATCGTTGCTGTTACTAACGTTACCCATGGGTCCGGGGGTCAGCGACAGTTTATGTTTCTTCTTGTCTTCCACGCCTCCTCTTCCCTTTTCCCTCTCTTTCTGTTTATCTTTGCACTTGGGTTTCGAAGAAGGCGCCTTGTGGAGGAAGAAATTGCTCTGTTTGAATACTTTGTGTGTGCTTGTCGGCGGTTGGTATCCACCGGCAGCGGGCACCGGGGGGCTGCTGCTGCTCATCTTAACCGGACTGAAGCTCCACGAACCCGCGTTGCTGCCGTAACTCTGCTGCGTGGGCTTCTGGAGTTTCTCTCTCCCGCTGCCGCTGCCCATGCCTCCGTCCTTGCTGACTTTCTTGGCTTTGACGCTCTTCTCCTCGACTCGCACCTTCTTGGGCGGCGGTGCGTTGAAATCTCGGGAAGGCTGGCAGCAGTTGTCGGGGTCTCCCTTCGCCTCGGTGGGTTTGCTGAGCGCGTTTTTTATTGAGGCTACTGCGGCAGGAACAGCAGCAGCAGCAGCAGTCACTCCTGAGAGGTGAGCGGAGCTCTGTGAGTCAGCCATCTTGAGGCTTCTGTCTCTATTTACTCTCTTCCCCAACGGCCGCCGCTGCTGCTGTATTTTTTTTTCTTCCGACGTGCAAACAGGCACCGAGGGGGCGGGACTCTGGGTTGATGGACATGTACAGTTTGGGGGCGGGGCTAATATCATAATTGACAGGCGGAGTGGTCTGAGGGCGGGGCCTAAAAACAAAACATGATGAATTACGCAGAAAATAATAATCTGCCCCCCCCCCCTTCAACTTTGCAGAAATGATTCCTGAATACGTGTGTTATTTTTCTCCTATTACCAACTTGTTTAACACCTATTCCCAGTACACATTTGTTCATCCAAATCAGAAAAGCTTTTTTTAAACAGGTATGTGAATAACATGAACAATATTTTCATTGTTATGCGATTAGATTCAGGGGAAGTGTGCAATTCAACTAAAAAAACAAAACAACTGAACTGTTGCACATTTTCTCTGACTGGCATTCAATTTTATCAGAGACATATAGTTTCTGGTATTTACACAGCAGCTGACTACCTCTTTCAATAGGTACAATCTCTTTAAATTTTTATTCATATAGTTGGTCGAGATTATATTTGCAATGAACAACTGACAGAACGTACAGGAATCCAAAGTGGTAGGTTATCAGTATGAGTGTTGAATGCATGAGTTAAACATGAGTTTAACACTCTCAGGCCTTATTAAACATTGAGACAAGTTCTCTGGTGCTGTTTAATATATTTGGAAGAAAACTCCTTTTGTCAATCAGACGGGCAAAGCTTTTAGCCCAAGCCCTGTCAGCATGTGGCCAGCTTTCAAGAATACTAAACATGATTCTCTGCAGCCAGAGCCGTGGATTGTAAACCTCCAGCTGGCCACAAATACCGTTACTGGATTATTACCTGATGGAATCCAGAAGTGGAAACTGATGTCTGTGTGTGTGTGAGCATATGGATTGATCAAATCCAGCAACTACAATATAATACTACATTATTTTCACCACAGGCCTTTAAATGGAGCTGACACAGTTTTCAGTTTCTTCAAATGGCATTAAAATGGCAGACTGCTGCTCACACTAACTGGCTATATTTATAAGCTATTACATAACATGTTAAAGTGCTCATTGGGAAAACTGAGGTGACCCAGTTTAGACAGCAACCTGGCTTCCTTTACAACACTCCAAGATGGAGAGAAAAGGACAAGCTGTGTAACCGAGAAAACTCTGCATACATTACTGCGTGTGGGTTTAATACGTTGACAGTAACAGATGGGGCGGTTAGAAGGTCCTGTGCTCACTGTGGTATGTGCATAGCTGAGCAGTGGTAACATAATACTATTAGCTTCGCAGGTCATTTTCGTGGGTCACGCATTTAATATGCTTGACCTTTATGGAAGTGTTAACCTTGCACTTGGGAAGTACACAGGAATCATGCTTACAGTCTCCCAAAGAATTCCTAAATAATGCATGTTCACTTGTTTGCTATTGTGTTTTTAACCTTCCAGCGGGATTGTTGGTCTCTTTACAGAAATAAGCATCAAAGTTTCATCCAACCTTTACAGAAAATATGACTAACTGTTGGAAAGGATTTTCCTATATTCATCAAACAGTGTGATTAAAATTGCAATCAAAAAACATACAGAGCCTTAATTTATTGATAGGTAAATACTCTATTTTCTTTTCATAGATCTTGTACATAACTGTGATCTTGGGAGGCTGTGGAAAGATGGACCCACTCTGCTGTAATAGTCGCATGTAAAAAGTTATATTCAAGCTTGTCTAATTAATCTGAGAAGAGTATTGACTACACGTGAGCGCTAGCAATTAATTACAGCCTGATGGCTCTCCTGCTGGGCCTCTCGATGTGTGTAAAGTGAATTCAAATGAGCAACCTTCAAGGTCTCTGTGTAAGACGGCGAGCCGGGGTGTGTTTTCACCCCCTCCTGCGGGTGTCGTGTTGGTGTGCGTGCGCTGGCCTTGGCAGAGCATCCACATGTGAGAGAGGACTTCCTGCTGTGATGCTCCCCGCCCCCCCCCCACACTCGCCCACCCACTCACACTGGAGAGAAGTTCACAAGTTCATTTCTGAGCACTATCACAAGATTCGGATTCAGTGGCGCCGCCACTTTACTTCCTGTGTGCAAAAAAAAAAAAAGTGACCGTGCGCACGCCTCCACCAACGTTTTGGTAGATCCACAAAGAGGAGGAAGCCACATCTTTACTTAATGTTCGTTTTTACTGATTGATTTCTGCAACATACAAACATTTTTTTTTCTTTTCGTGCGTTTGTGTGTTTCTGTGGCCAGGGGCATGGCTGGGTGAGAGTCCCACACAAGGTGAAGGGCAAGCAGCAGCAAATCACGTCTCTTTCGCGCTCGATGTTAATGGTGATTGGAGGAGAGTGGAAAGGTGAGGGGAGCAGGGCGGGCTCTCTTAAAGGCACAGACGGGCTCTTTTCAGAGATCGAGGCTTGCTTGAGTGTGTGTGGATGCATGGAGGGAGGGGTAAACAAAAACAAGGTAAAATCCTAAAGCTGAAGGCCGCCTCTCCTATTGTGGGTGCATCCTGGTACTTTGAAGTGCCAACTAGTTGGAAATGTTGACAGGTAGGAGCACTGGAAAATGACAGCTTTTTTAAAAACGGATGGAGTGGGGAAAGATGAAAGATGTAAACAATTGAGGGGTGGCGGCTAAAAAAAGAGCATGGCTAAAAAAGAAAAAGACCAAAAAAGCTCCGCTTCGTTTGGAGCATTGGCTCCATCTTAGTAGCATGTTGGTGGGGGAAAAATATCGGGGGAAAATGAGAGATTTTAAAAGATGAGGACGTCGAAAGAGCTTATGAGATAAGAGATGAGTGGAGGTCTGGGTGGGGAGGGGCAGTGACGCATAAAACAACCGCGTATACAAAAATAACCTTTAAAATACCATTTACAAAAGAAAAAAAAGACCATTATTATTATTATCATCATCATATTATTATTACAATCTTAATCTGAGCCCACTGTAGTCATCGGAGGGGGCCAGCTGACAGCATATGCTTCTCCACCGCCAGCCAACTAAAAACATTTTATCAACCTATTAAGCACATAGTTCTAACATAAATTTAAAAACAACCCTGATATATTTGCCAGATGCAAAAACAAAAGGGTAGCAGAATAATTTACACTTTGAGGGAAAACACTGTGTGGGGGAGGAATCATCATCATCATGCACGGACTTTCTTACATCTTCTGTTAATAGGAATATTTAAGAGATAGCAAAAAGAAATTTGAAACATCATATACGTAAACTGCCCTGTACAGTTCTTTATCTTTATAAAACAATGCATATACTGTGTCGTTATGGTAGCTAATGCAGGAGACGTCAACAATAAGTAGAAAACAGTAGTCCTGGGGTCCTTAGCTGCTGTCGTGGGTTTAAATCAATGCCTCACACACACAGAAGCAGGTTAAGAGCAGCGAGCTGTTCAACAAAAAGAAACCAAACTAGTTTGATTCGTGGAGGCGGGCTGGAGGTTTAGTTTCAATCTGTCAAGTTCCAGATTTCAAGCGTTTCAGGTGTAACATTCATACTCCGAAACACTGAGGTTTGCCGTGAGAAGCTGTAATGAAAACTTTCATGGTCGTTCAGAGGGCCTCGATAACAGGAAGGGGAGTGAGAACAGACAGACGGGGGGGAAAAAAGCAGAGGAAGGAGGAGAAGTAAACAGCGAACATAAGCGGGACGTGAAGACTGAGAGAAGCCAGAAGCAAAAGGAAGCAGAAAAATGAAAGGCTTTAACTGACGTCTTCTCTGAGAGGTGGACTAAGGCAGGATCATGGTCCCAGCAGTGAGAACCAGAGTCATAGAACTGATCAGTTTGGCCATTACTGGTGTCGGTAATGCCTTCAGACTACTTCTGATTTGAAGCTCCTGGCCCTAATTAACATGCTGTAGAAAGATCAGCCATCTTTCAAATAAACACATTCAGTTCTTTTTGATTTTAATAGTTTTGTTTGACATTGTATGACCATTTAAAAGACTATTCTTTGGGATGGAAAGCCACAAAAAAACTAATTCTAAAACAATTTCTGCGTTCAACTATGCTTCTAAAAAACATTGTGGGACCAATAATGTTGCAGACTCAGCAGATATTTAAAGCAAATGTCCAGGATTTTTAAGAAAATGAAGCACTTATCTTTTTGTTTCCTGTGGACTTTAATGAGAAGGCTGTTAATGCTCTTCACATAAATGTCAAACTAAAAGCAACAGTGAGTAAACTTAACCAATGAATAGTAACCACCTACTCTAGCAGCATTTTTAGCCCGAAGAGAGGAAATGATTACAGTTACTGAACACTGCAATGACCAAACCATGTTAGCTTATGACTCTGACAGAGGAGCATAGAAACATGAGCTACTAGAGCTGGTGAGGGGAGACCTAACGGAGGTGAGAACAGGTTAACGTTGGCAACAGATAGCTCCAGAGTGTCTGTTTCTATGCTGATCTTTAGTAATGTAGCACCAGCACATAGAAAGAGGGACGAACGGACACAGAAATACAAAGAGACACAGACAGCGCCCTGGCAACCTCCACATACCCAACTGAAAAGGTTGCATCATGGGCAGCAGATTATCTAAATTCGCTTTGAAGATTGTTGTCGGTTCAGCGGGAGGCAGCATTCAACCTCTGGGAGTTCGGTTAAACCTCCGAAATCCACCTCCCACTGTAGTTTTTTTTTTTTTCTATAACTTTCTTCTCATTTGGCTTGAAACAAAGTTCAGGAGTCACTTTAGATCCTTCTTTATTGAGTGTCAAAAGGGGAAAAAGTGGAGAAGAAGAAAAACGAGGCCCTCTCTTTGTCTACTGCAAAAAAAAAGTATCCTTGAACGAATGGCAGGGAAAGACTGATCCCTGGTCAGCATCTAGAGAAGTCAAGCCATCTTACATCAGCAAGCCGAGGAGGGAAAGCTTTGTTGTGAAATGGACAAGCCTCTGGACCTGGAGTTGTTCTTTTGCTTAGCGTGGTGGCACTTTGACGGCGGGACGAAGGAGGAGGAGGAGGAGGAGGAGGATGTCAGCACAGAGTCACACAGAAGCAGCTTCTATGTGAAAATGTGCAGCTTTAGTTTCTGGATCAGCCTGGTCAGATCCGTACAGTCTAGTTCCTCGTTAGAGAGGAGCCATTCGTGGACAGGCAGACGGATCGGTCCATTACGTCCACTCCGGGGGGGGGTTCTTGAGGGCCCTTGCGCTGAATGCAGCGATTACCGAATCCTGAAAGGAGAGAAGCTCTTAGCGGGGTTTGCTTTGCATAGCAGCATCAATCTTATCCACATATTTTGCCTGAACGCGAGCCAAATATTTCCTGCACATTCAGCTTTCTAGAGCTAGCTTTCCAATCTGCGAAAGCGGCACCACGCATCAAAATATGATGACTATTACAAAACATGTCAAACCATCTCTGTCAGCAACGGTTTCTGCACAGGGACAGAAAAAAAATAAGAAAAACCTTCCAAAGGTTGCATGGGTGGAAATCCAGCCGTGAAACAGCCATTAGCCCGACGGTAGGGCAGCTAAACGCCCGCAGACAGTAGACCTACCCGCCAAGCTCTGCCTGGTTGTCTGTCGCTGTGCTGCCGGCAGATCCAGGGTCAGCGGCAGATGTCTTTACACAATCTGACTCATCTAAACATAAACACACACGTTGATGGAAATGTGAATAAATAAGATATGAGTGTGGGCTCACAGTTCAACAACAGTTTCAATTACATTTGTCTTACTGAGAGGAAAGAATGACAATACAGATGCTTGTGCAAACACATTTTCCACATGAAATTCTGAGAAAACCTGCATTTTCACAGCAGCCTGCATACATTTGCAAGCAGAGGCTCACATTTTCAGTTCGGCTTGCAGCTGGCATTTGAATGAAAGCACTAAATTTGTGAGTTATGTGAATGATAACATATTAAAACCAGAACAAAAAAGGGGCGCAAAAGAGTCAACGTAAAATATTTATTCCCTTTTGATTAAGCTGTCACACCCACACCAAAACTACTCAGGCAATAAATTGGCATTAAAACCATTATACGATCCTCCCAGCACAGGGCTCACTTTTATGGCTCGTCTCCAAAGACGTGTTGTATCTTGCTTGCTTGCTTTCCTTCCCTTTCTATTATTCCTTTACTGGCTGCCCCTCTTTTACGGCTGCCCCTCTTATCGCATGTGGGCTGATTCTTAAAGCCTCAAAAGTGTGTTTCCTGCTCTGCTGGCAAACAACCGCGAGCACTAAAGCAGGTCTGTAAACAGCAGGACAAAGAGCTCGAGACGACAAATCGGAGACGGAGCCGGGCAAGGCAGTTCATACCTTTCTGCAAACTGCTCCATTCTGCCGAGCCTGACGTTCTCAGGTCCAGGGGGTCTGAGGGAGAGCCGGAAAAGAAGGCGAATTTGAAGAAACACTCAAAGACAAATGAAGTCAACTTTGAGTCTTGTCTTATCAAGCACAAAAAGGCAAACATTCCCACACATTCACACACTCCATGTTGCCTCCAAAATCCCATCTGCATCTGCAGCCTCTACACTAAAAATGAGATAAAAACATCCCCAGAGGTGTAGCAGGGCTTCATCACTTGGTTTAGATCATTTTAAAACAGTATTAAGTCTTATGAGAGTGAGTTCTATAAGCAATAAATGAGAGCAACTGAACACGATTTCAGTCATGGCCTCCACAGAAACGCTCCTTTTCCATGACTGGGGTGGCAAATGCTGACCTCTAGTGTTGTAAAACTGACAAAAACTGACAAAAAAAAAACCCAGCATGCTCTGTTTTCTTCCTTCTCCGTCTCATCTCACACACTCCAGTGTGGTTGAATAATTTAACATTATCCTCAAACGGAGCGCTACAGACGAGAAAAGGAAACAGCAGGAGGTCAGAGGGTGGTGGCCTTAATAAAGAGCCCATCCTGTGAACCAGAGGCCGCCGGCGTCCTACCTGTCTGCCGGTCTGTTTGAACCAGACGCCCAGACTGCTGAAGGAAATCAAATGGAAATGGAAAGCATATTTTTCCTGTTTCAGCCCAAACCGACCGAATGAAACACACACAACCGACAGGTTTTAGTCACACAATTGGATGTGTTAAAACCGTCTTTTTAAACGGAAAAAAACACACACAAATCAAACATCCACCCACTGTACGCGCATAAAACATCAGACCAGGGGGGTATTTGTTTTGAATCTCTTCGTTTCATTTCCATCCAGCCTTAAAAAAGATGAGCCGTGACACGGACGTGAGGCGGTGCTCTGACTCCGCGCCGCCGGACACACCGGACGATGTCCACCAATGCAAACGCACCTGTGGCCAGTATGAAGGACTCAGGGGTTCTCTCAGGGAGGGGGGGAGGGGAGTCATCGCTGTCCCAGCAGTCTGGGTTAAGAGGTCAGAGGTCAAATGAGAAGCAAGGTTATCGACTGGCCGAAATAAAAAAAGAAGTCAAAGTGCATCATTTAGTTCCTGCTTTTATATATAATTACTCAACATCCAATGAGATTTACTTAATTTATTTTGCGTTTTCATAGTTCACTAATTTCATTAGATAATAATGACAAATTCCAATCTAAGTCAATTAACTGGCATTCGTGAGGCTGTTGCTGTGTTCAGTGTGTTGTTGTGTTTCAGCTTTGCTTTGAGCTCGTGTAAGAATACAGGACTGTTTAAATATTAAAACCTACACTAACTTGCAGGATTCTGCACTTTTGTAGGTGACACATTCGCTATCTGAAAGTCGATTTCGTTTCAGTGGTTAACATAACAGCAGTTTGCTTTTTAGCTTCTTCACGGATGTGGTCTCTATGAAAGGGGATTTTAGGGTCATGACATCACAACAAAAATTTTAAATCTCTCTTTTCCGTTTTAGATCTCTGGCTAATAAATGCTCTACTGACTTATACTTTAATTCAATGTCTAACTTTATTTAATATCACATACCAATAGGATCAGTGTCTCTGAGAAGGAGATTATTTAAATGAGAAGAACTTAAACTTTACTCAATTTAAAGAGAATAAGTCTCTTGCTACATGTGGCCTGTCTGAAAATAGAGAAGCTTGAAAACACCATCTATAGTTTCTCCCTTTTAGGAGCTTAAACATATCCAGAAACTCTTGAAATTTTATGAAAATTTTATTAAACTGATTGTGACGACCCACAGATGTTTTCTTTGATCATATACCGTAATTCTAATATGTCTGTAACCTTTCTTATTAATGTGTTTTTGTTCAGTTTAGGCCATCTGCTCTTTATGACCTGTATTTTAAGACTACGCCTGACAGATTCAGTCCTTACCATGGAGGAGGCAGCCCAATGAAAGCCCTATAAAACAGTTTAGTTTAGTTTAGCACCGCTTTTGATGATGGCCTCAGTTAGTTTCTAACTGTGCACTTTTTTGGGGAAAATGGTGGGTTAAATAGAAAGTAAACATCTCTGGAAATGTAAACTACTACTTAAGTTTACTATAACTATATAAGCATTCCAACTGTTACATGAAAATTTGGACCCAGTTGAATCTGTTTGGTTGAGCACGGATGATTGGGATAACAGGATTCTTAGCGTTTGCAACCAGCCAAACAAGCAGCCACCACCAGCTTTCTTTTCACCAATCACAGAGCAGACATTTGCTTGGTGCAACTCATCATCAAGCAGCTCTCAGATTTTTCGCCATCCAACAGCAGCCATCAGCCTTTCATAGATAAAGCCGCCGCAGCCAACACAGATCAGTGTGCCCAAAAAAGCAAAGCCAAAAAGACCAAAATGCCCAAAATCAACAGTCCGACAGAGCTTAAAGATTGTGGATTGTGATCGTTTTTCTTTGATTGAACATAACAACATTAATACATTTTAAAGAAGCTATTTTTTCATTGATAAAAGTATGTTTAAAGTTTATAGTTAAAAAAAGCAATATATGCCAAGATATCTGATGTGATATTAGTTCAGTTCTTTTTCTTTTTTCTCAATTCTTTTTCTCTTATGGAAAATGTTACAAATCAAGACTTAAATCATGCACCTTTGTAGTTTCATCGAACCCATATCGATGCTGTTAGTTTAAATGTGGAAAAGTCAGTAAATCCTTAAAGGCGATCCTTCAAACTCAGAGCACAATCCAGTTCAAACCACTCCAACACAACTGCCCCAAACCGATCCAGAATCTACTGATTCACAGCTCAGATGATCCAAACCAGAGCTGGTGTTGGCAGTCACACAGCGAAGCCAAACCGTGGAGCACACAGCAAACAGCCCAGCGCTGCTCTGTTCAACCCAACGTGCACAAAAAGAGCCAGAAGTGCCTTTATGAGTGTCATGCCGTGCTGATCCTTCACCATCCAAACATGCAGCTCACACACTGCCGGAAAGAAACGAAAAAAAACAAAAACGGAATGGATTTTTCCACACTCAAGCTGAAAGACAGACGGTGTTCTGCACACATCTGCTGCATTCCTTACAGACCAAACAATTAGTTCCAACAGTCATGCTTTACGTGAGAATCTCAGGAAACTTTGGTGCTTCTTCTTGTTCCTTTCTTCCACATGTCCGCTTTTTATTTCTCCCCCTAAACAATAAGTGTATGTGGGCAGATTTAACTCGTTATCAGCATGTGGTCTGTCTGATGCTGTTCTGACCCAAAAACACAAAAACAACCCTACTACGTTACTATGTGGTTACACTGAACATATGTGAGAGTGGATAACAAAGTTTTTACATTTAGAAAAATGGTAAAAACAGAGAATAAGCTGAGCTAAACTTCAGCGTCTACCTGAAACGATTAACAGCTTATTAGACCAGAAAAGCAGCCATGGAAAAACTAGTTTAGATCCATTCAAAGAAGCTGACTGACATACTTGCTGTGGTCGGAGAAGATGATGGAAATTTCTGGCCTGCAATGGCCATGGGCAGCACTTTTCTGACCAGCTGCTGGGCTTCGTGATGAGGGGATGTGGTTACCGAGGCCGTGGACACGTTTGTGAAAGAGCAGTCCTTTCCCCCGGACAGCTCTCCATTCCCCTCCTCATCCGAGTTATCCGAGTGCAGGGGGTTGGTGAAACTCAGCGCAGTCCTAACGGGAGTGGAAGAGGAGGATGAGGAGGAAGAGGACAGGTGGGAGGAGGAGGAGGAGGAAGGAGCAACCCTGTCTGAGGAGGAGGAAGAGGAGGAGGTCTTGGGGAATGTCTTTTCCGGGCTGTGGCAGGGCTGCGTCCAGGCTGCGTGGCCGGCCTTCAGGTCCCCCCGGTCCTCCTCCTTGGCGCCCATCTTCTCCCCGCTCTTCACAGGGAGGTGGTTTGGTCTGATTAGGGGACCCCCGTCCGGCTGGCTGTCCCCGCAGCCCCCCGCTCCTCCTCCTCCTCCCTCTGTGCCCGAGTCCTCCGACAGCGAGGAGCTGGAGGTCAGCAGGGACTGGCCGGACCGGGCTTTGAAGGCGTGGCCTCTCTGCAGCATGCTGGTGTTGTTGCTGGGACTGGCCCCGCCTCCGCCCGCCACGCCCACCGAGGAAGACGTGTCGAAGCTACGAGGTCCTTCCTGCAGCGGCACCTTTTTAATCTCGATGCTGAGCTTCCTCTCAATGCGAGAAGCACCGAAACATTCAACAGAGGGGGAGATGGGCGAGGAGGGGGTCTGCGTCTGGCTTTTGCCTGACTCGGACTGCGTCGATGTCGAGGAGACTTTGTTGTTGTAGTTGTCGTTGAGATCTAAGTTTGACACCTGCGTCTGCTGATGTCGGCTCAGTAGGTCCTGATCCTTTTGCTCTGAGGGGCTGGCGTCTTTAGTCGGATTGGGTTCTGAATCGTTCTGCTGCAGGGCCGCATCTTTTTTCTAAAATGAAGTCACCAGAAAAAAGACAGAAGTTCAAAATGTGACAAAGAGCTGATGTACATAAACACCTTTATTTTGGTGCATTTCATTCCACAACTAAAAACCATTAAGGAACCTAAGTATCCTGGATTATTTCAACCATTAGTTTTGATCTTTTAACAGACAAAGCTCCTCCATCAGATCACCCAATAATGATAATCATTATTCGCTGATGATTAAATTAAACATCTAGTTACTGACTCCCAACAGTATCTCTGTTGCAGTGTGCAAACAGTGTGCAATGATCCATAGGAACTAAGGTCAGCTAGTTTCTGCCATACAAAATGCTTGGTTACTATAGAGATTCACAGACAGTACGTCTTATATCATCGGCTCTTTTTGTTATTCTGTTATCGTGCCTCTGGTATTTACTAATATCTAATATATGAGATTTATGAGATGTATTTATTATACCTTTTCCATCATTTCCTGTTTTTTATTGAGTCTTCGAACAATGTCATTTATTTATTTGCGCGCTGCAGGCTGAGCGGATGGAGCAGCTTTTTTGTTATCGAGGGCACTGAATTCTGCTGGAATGAAAAGAGCTGCAGCCTGACTGACAGAGGACTATGCTCCTCTATCTCACATCACTTTTCTGTTTTTCTCAACGAAATCCTCAGGCATTGCTTGAGAGCATTATATATCTAAAAAGGAACCGTCTGTATGAACTCCAGGTAGAGGCCACGAACTGCACACCTGCGTCACGTTGTGCTGCGCGGTGGCCAGGACGTGTATGACCGGTTTGGGGTGGTAGCGGTCGTTGTCCTGCCGAACATTTGTGACAGTGGGGAAGGCTGACGGGGGAGACGGGGTGAGGATGGGGGGAACCGGGTGAGCCTCAGGAGGCTGGAGAATCTCCTCCTTCACATCACCTTCTGTCTGGGAACTACAGACAGAAAAAGAGAAAAACAGCTCAAATAACAAAACACAGATCAAATGAGGTTTTCTGGATGGTCAGATTTAAAAAAAAAAAAAAAAAAGGAAAAACTTTCATCATACATCACACAAATTCACCCGCATAAATCATTCTCTTTAAAAAAGTAAGTCATAAAACAAAGATGATGAAATTAACCTAATTAAATTGATTTCATAAGACCAGGAAACAGTTTCAATAAAGTTTTTTCACCACTAGGTGGCAGAACGTGAAATAGTCTGGGAGGAAACTCACACTGAGACTAATTACATGTTCTAAGATTCTAGGTTTCTGCTGTCAGACAGTTCAGCCCATCGTTTGTGGATTTAAGTTGACATAATCTGTTGATGTGACTCACACTGAGGACACACTCACAATCCTTACATTTCTGTCTGAGAAAAGTTGCAAACATATTTCCAAAACAGGCTTCGGAGTACTTTAACATTTACGGTTTTTAGCTGATGAAATGTACACAAAGTTATCCCTTTTTAACGTTACACTGCAGTAACAAGTGGAAGCCAAACAACAGTGTAGGTGTGAACTGCATACAGGATGCTGAGGTTATGAACAAGCTACCAGAAAAGGGGTGGAAAGTGTATACTGAGACACTGTTCCCACCACAAAACATACATTTACATGCTGTATGCATGCTAAGATAGGAATGCAGTGAAACAGGGAAAGGATGTGGCGGTCTGCTAATTCAAAAGCACATGACTGAGGCGAGAGCTGACACGGGAGTGACTGCACATGACGCTGCGGGGATCAAAGGCGCACACACACAGAAAGTCCAACTCAAAGTGCCGGCTAGCTAGAAGCACAGGGGATTTCCTTCTCTTCTGCAGTCACAACGTAAAGGCCTCCGTCTGTCTCCAAACTCTGCTCTACGGCAGATAGCGCCTTTCCTCATCTGTGAGCGAAGACCCCGTCTGAGGTTTACTCCCGGTTTCCCTGATAATCCAGATTTTCATTAAAGGCGCTGAACAAAAACAGGGAGCAGTAGCTTGCTTTCCGCTGGCGCAGATAGAAACACTTGAACGTGAGTAACTTTTGCTTTGGCTCCCAGTGTGGGGGTTGGAGATCATGACTTCCTGCTGAAGAGCACTGCTGTGTAAATTGGGCCCGAATCCAGCAGCAGCTAAGGTTTCCTAAACATCCAGCTGCCTCCCAGAAGTCACTTATTAGCAATTTCAGGCCTCCAAGCTAAACATTATCCACTTGTTTTCTTTAATGAAGATGTTCATTTCCTTTGAGCATTTCCGATTTCATATAATGTTTATTTCCTGAGCAAACAAAAGATATATTTAACCATTTGTTTTAAGTGGAATCTGAACTTGAATATCCAGGTGCCGCCTTGGCTAAAACTTTTTTTTTGTTGGTTGGATCGCCCACATTGCCGTTGCATTTTTAGCTGTCACAGTTGGATCTGCCTTCTTTCATAAAAGGCAGGATGCTCCAGAGGGGAAGATTAAACAGACACCTTCTGGTTTCAGGCTGTCAGGAGGACAAATTCACAGAAGAAGTAGAAAACTCGCATAAAAACCGCACAGATTCAGACCACGACTTGAGCTAACAGGTGCGCCTGTCTGTAGGCTGCCTCCCGCCTCCCGCAGACGACAAACACGACAAAAAAAACTCTACAAGAGGCCACAAACATTCAGTCCGTACTGATGTTTGATGATAGAGTGTGTGATGAAGCCGTGACTCAGTACGCAGCCTCGCTGGACTTCTTCCCATATCTCCCTCCATCTCTCACACACACACACACACACACACACAGATCCTCCTCCACGTACACACAATTACATCAACGGAGCGCCCCAAAGAGAGTGTGGCCGGCAGAAAGCGGTTTATTTTAGCGAAAATAGCTCTAACCATAAATAGAATCCTCCCAGGTTTAAACTAGGCCCTCACATTATTTTATTTGAGACAGAGCGATGACGCAGAGAAAGGAGGATACACACTGAGACACACAGACAAATGGATTCAGACACCCAGGCATTTCTGTCCCACTCCCAGGGAAGTTTGCTATCTTGGCAGGATCTCCGAGTTCAAATTTGTATGTTTTACTAAGAACACATCCTAAATTTAGGACCCCTGGAAAATGTTTCCCATCAAACCAGCTGGTACAGAAGACATCTTAAGGGAGCCTGGCTTTCCTAACAGAGGACAAGGCAGCAACTAGCTCATTTACTGCTCATACATGCTTTTATTTAATTCTTACATGTCCATTTATCAAAATGAATCGAGGTGTTTCAAACCTTTCAGCTAATTTACTTTACCCGTTTATGATGATATCCCTAGCCCGCCTCCACCATGCCTGGACATTAGAAAGCTTTCTTAACCGCTTTAAGCCTTTGACTCTCACTCAAGGGCCGATTGAATGAGTTAAATATTTGCATGCACATCAATAATTGAGTTGTCTTCGGAGATCTCTGGTGTGATGAAAGATTCACATCAGCAAGCTACAACTTAAGGTCAAGATAAATTTGTCAATGAAACAAAAACCTGAGGTATTCTTTTTTCGTTGCTCATCTCAACATGTTTGGAATGAAGCCAAACATTTTGGGAACATGTCCGATTGTATCTTTTCCATCTCAGTGACCCCGTCGTACTTTTTAAACAGATCTGTGAAGATTGTTTTACACAAGTTGAACGAGCTAACAAACTTCACATTTCTCGGTTAAACTCCGAGTCCGCCAGCTTTGCAGAGAGACTCACAATAGCACACGCAGCCAAAGTGGACATCTCCTGACAATGCCTCCAGCAACAGCTTATTAACTTAGACAGTGTTGCCTGGCAACAAGATGTCCTCGGTGACATTAAAGCGTCAGATCTGAGGCAACGCTGAGGAATTCGTCAACTTTGTTAAAAAGTTTTGCTGTGTTTCTGAGTTACTCTGGGTAGTTTTTTTTTCCTACTTTGGATGGATTTTAAGAAGCAGGGAACCACTTCGGTGCCTGTTTGTTATGTACTGCACAGCCGAAGTAAAAAGAAAGGAAGAGAAGGAAAGGGATGGAAAATTGTTTCTAAAAACCAAGGACATCTGATTTGATCAATATCTCATATGCAGCCTTCTTGAAATAATGTGTTTAAAAGTCGATTTTGTCTCCTCAAAGGCAGGAAGATAAAAACTGCTCTGCTCTCACTGCCTCTTAGGCTGTGGCGTGTTCAACACAATGTTGTGTTGCAGAGCATTGCAAAACGATCTATTAAGCGGCTCCTCTTCAGGCGCTTGTTAACAGACGAACAGAAGTTAACTTAAAGTGGAGGCTGGCTGCATCTGTGGGCTGACAGGGAGCAAAAAGTCAGAACACAGCGCCCGCTGCCTTTGTTTGCTCGGATGAGTGTGTTTTCACACACAAACACTTGTGTTTTACCCTTTTTGTTTGGATTGTTTTGGTGTTCTTCCAACTGAGACGCAGCACCATCTGAGCTCAGTGACTGGACGCCTCACACCTACATGACGACCTCGTGTGAACCTGTTAATTCATCTCTGTGGAGGACGAGCGTGCCTCACTTCATTTTTTTTAGCAACGTTCCTTAAGCGATTGGTTTTTGGGGGGGCGAATCAAAAAGGTGAAAATATCAACAGATGAGCCACACAGGCACAAAAGCGGGCCTTACCTGCGTATGCGGGGAGGTTTGGGAGGAGGTGTGTCCAATCGCTCCTCGTCTGAAGGATGGCTTGCTTTGTCAGGACTGCTTTCATCCTGGACGCACAAAAAGAAAAGAAACATATTTTTTAATCACAGATCGTCTTAAAGGCCAAATAGTAGCAGGGTATTTCTTTTTTTTCCAAGGCTGTGGAGAAAGCTTCTACTCCCTTTTATTGGTAGAGTTTTGTGATTTATTCAACAAATTTATTTCAGTTCTATAGTTTAAGGCTATGTTCTTTCCTCACTGAATATTTTAGAGTTGTTAAAAATGCGATGGGGAAAGATTCTTAGCAGCCTCCCGACTGCTCTTCCCGCTCCTTCTGGCCCCTCTTTCACCGTGATTCATTAACTCGACTCTCTCGCCTTCAGTCATCATAAACTCCTCAAAAAGGCGTAAATCAGACCAGATGATGTTGGAGCCGTGAAACAAAACCACTCTGTTGGGCTTTACATGCGTGTCTGCGTGTGCTGTGGGAATCAGCTTTGTAGGAACGCGCCTCCGAACAATGGCGGCTACAACCGAGGGAAAAAATGGAGTGTGGGACGTGCCTGTGTGTAGGTTTATTGTTGGTACCGCCATTGACAGAACCTGAGTGGGTGTTGTGGTGACTTATGGTGGCTGACTGGCCATGAGTCAATGTGTGTGTATGGATTGAGTCAGTACAGCTCGCTGATAATGATTAGCCGAGTGTGAGAGCTCTGTTCTTTTTGGACTTTTTGGACCTGGAACTTTGTTGGATAACAGGGTTATAATCAGCACAAACAAACCCAGAGTGAATGAATGACTAATGGCACAAACTTTTATATAATTTTTTTTTTATACGTGACATACAAAAAGAAGTCTTGTTTCACCATGTCTATTAAAGGTCTCCCTTTCCCAAAGGATGCAGATCTATTTTCAGAGTCAAAGTGCATTCTGGAAGAGGGGTGATGTCATCAGCGCTTCCTAAACAGGAAGTCGGCTGGTCCACTGCCAGGACACTATCTCATCTGTCTGTATCCTCCGTCTTTAGACAAGCTGACCTTCCACACTCTAAAGTGGATCTAACTGTCTTTAACATGAACATACATCTACTTAAAGGAGTAGGGAGGACTGGCAATCACTTGAACGTGTAACTAAAGCTGTTAGATAGGTTTGATGCTGCTGGGGGAAAAAAAGGCTCTGGCTTCTATCGAGCCCATTCATTCATTTCTTATCACTAACACTACTTACACACTGTTAATTTTTAATAAACTAAAGCTGAACAGGACAAACTGTTGACTGCTGCTATTTTTTTTAAACATTTTCAGCTTATTTGACTCAGTTGGACTTCTATTGGAATGCAGAGTATCGGGAAAGGTTTGCATGTGGCTCCTGTGACTGACAGAGCAAAGTATTTTCTCTTTCTCTTTGAAACGAGTTCGGCTGAGCAGTCCTCTGAGACCGGCCCGGGGAGATATCTCGCCTTTAGGCACAATCACTGCAACTCTTCTTCTGAGTTTTCTCAAGGCCGACTCGCCCGTATTTCTCCACCCTTGATCCCCTTGTGACTAATTATTTGTTTTTTTCCGACTCCGAGTGTGTTACTCAGCGACATCCTGCCTTTCTTCAACACCAGACAGAAAGCACAATGTGAGTGTGTCATACCATGCCATCATGTATCTGCGTGTCGGCGGAACTCTCCAGTAGCAGCAGTTGTTTCTCAAAGAGCTGAGCAATTGCTTTATGAACTAACTCGTACTGCTCCTATGGAGAAAAAGACAAACACATAATGAGGCAATGGGTTTAACGGAGAGGGCGAAAGATGAGGAAGATACTTTCAAAGAACCTAGACTACACCTTATGATGACAAAGAATGCTTCTTCAAGTGGAAACATGCATTATTATTATGACTGCATATAAATAAGGTGTAGCAAAGAGTCTGAAGTCAAGTCAGAGACTCCAAAAGTAAACAAGTCCCTGTCAAATTTCTGGTAAAGCAGCCTTAACCAGTAAAGGCAAAAAACCCCCATTGCAAATAGATCCATCTTCAAACAGCTGTGAAACAAGTAATACTGGAATGAGAGGAGGACTGTCAGGCATCGCAAGATAATCAGTGACACTGAGATATTTTGAATACCTAGCAGTGACATTTCATAACAGCGAGATGTTCAGAGATACTTCTCCAAACAGTGAGGGCTAATGAAGTAAAACAAAATGTTTAAATGAAAATGTGTGTCAGGGACACAACAAAAAAGGTTTCATTTCTCTGTAATCTGCCATCAACAGCTTCATGTACGTGTTCAAAAGAACATCCTCAGCTAAAAGATCTGACCTTTGTTTGAACGGCAGAGTGTCGCTGCGTCCTCATCTCTTGGATCAACCGGAAAACGTTAAAATCCTCTGGAATTTTCTTTAAAAGGGGGACAGAAGAATATGATGACAAGTTTGATTAAAGACTGAACAGAAGGACAATTTGAAGAAACTCAAAACATTGAAAAGTAAAGTTTGTGCCAGCATGTGCCTGTTACCTACCCCAGCTTTGAGGAGGTTCCATGTGTAGTCAATAGCACAGATTGCACCCGTCCTCCCACAGCCTGCACTGTACAGTTACACAGATTTGATTAGGGAAAGCTGACGCGGCAAAAACATCAGTTTTCATAATGTAACAGCAAAGACAACGCTGGAATTCTATCAGTTTGACGCACAATGAACCAGAAAGAGAACACAAAAACGCCATGTGACACCCCTATTCTATCCAGACAGGAAGGAGACGGGAGCCGCAGAGAAGCTGATCCTGCCTCATGGACAAAAATCATAAAACGTGATCTCATGCTGCCATGCTGCTCCAAAGAACAGGGTTTTGCCACATCAGCCCACACAAAGCATCTTCACAGACCCAGAGACACAGCTTTGAGTCCTGCTGTGAAACAGAGGAAATGTCCTCAGGCAGCTCATTACTGCTTATTACAACCACGAGGACAAGTGTGTGTGTGTGTGTGTGTGTGTGTGTGCTGGGAGCTAGCACATGTGCTGCAGAGAGCCTCAATCTATAGGGTTTAAAACATTTCTTCATTTTTGCTCAATACAAAAATGCAGGTACGAGCTATGGTAGCACAACAGACTTTTTCCCTCCTTATTTACCTGCAATGCACACATATGGGGATGTCATCGTTGTCTTGATATTCTCTCATTAGTCCAATCATATCCAGTATGGAGTCGAATGATGAGGGGACGTCATGATCGGGCCAGTTCATATAATGGAACTGAGTTATCCTCCGAGTTTCCTGCAGGAAGATCACAACAGAATCACCTGATCGAGGGCCGGCAGTGTCGTGCATTTTCCAATGGGATCATCTGCAACGGCTATTTTACGCTGAACTGTAAACTAAAGAGTGGGTGTGTTTGTTTGTTGGGGCGCATTAATGAGTAAGAGAGTCAGAACTTACCGTTTCGTTCTGCACTATCAAAATTCTGACATAGTAGTCTGTTCTGCGCTGCTCAGATTCCTGGAAAAAAGAAATTAGGAGTCCATTTGAACAAAACTTAACTAAAATAGTCATTCGAACAATAGCAAAAAAAATCATGAGTCCAAAAATAAGCCCCCAGACAGATTAGACACAGCAGCAGTACCACACATTGGTTTACTTACACAGGAGATTCTGAAAGGACCAAAAGTCATGGGCTCCTCCTCTCCTGGCGGGAAGTATCGTTCACACTTTTTCTAACCAGAGAAAAAGCTACAGTTAACTTTGGCTGAGAATGAAACACCAGTGAGAGTCTGCAGCTTCCTGCAGATGCAGATTCTGGTTTGAAGTAAACTATTAACAGCACATGCGGAAAACAGAAGAAGAGCAATGAGACCAAAAATATATATCTGTGCTGCTATTAGTCATACTTGACTTTCATTCCAGGGAACTAAATCAATATTAAGTGTGGGTCAATGAAAAGCTGACTCATGCACACTGATGGGGCAGTGTAACCCTAACAATACCAGAAATGCTTTGATCAGAGATAGACTGTCCTCAATAGGACCAATAAAATATAAATCATGTTTGGTATTCTAACAAGTGGAACAGAATGCACACTGAAGAGATGAGATAATGAAGAGACATGCATGGACCAACAAGGAGCAGCCTTACCCTTCCCATCTCAAATTCCCGACAAGCCATTACAATAACCTGCAGAGAAACAGGAAGACATCCCATCAACAGCAGCTCACACAAAGCCGAGTCCCGCATTCCCTAAAACCCAGAACTTTTTGTCTGTAAAGGTTCTCAGAGGTCCAGAATATGAGGGCTGATCATTTGTTTATGCATACAGCATCGCAGCTCATATTTTTTCCTCTGCCAAGTTCTGAAAATTACACACCAAATATCTCCAACAGTCCTGACAATAAACATTTGACTTAATGCAATTTATCGTGACAATTCAGATTTGTTTTCATGCAACTGATAAAATTGCCATATGAACACCCATTCAAATATACGTAGCTTTAGGTTTTTAAGTATCTTACTATTTTCAGGCTTATATTTGTAAAATATAATCTGCAGAATGGGGGCAAATGCAATTTCTTTTGAGTAGAGCTTAGTCTAATGAGTTTAGAGCACTGATGTTAAGTTGGATAAGCTGCAGCTCCTCTCTGAGCAGAGGTGGATGAGTAGGGAGGAGGAAATGGATACATGAAGGAATTTAGAGTATTTATCTCAGTCAAATGTACGCTGGCAAGCTTAAGTTTTACTTCAAATTATGATCAGATTGCTAAGTGGGATGACTATATAACAAAGGCAACATTATCTATAAAAGCTGCTTCTGTATTGATGTCTGGCTCCGTTTTGCTAACTGGGCCATTGGACAGTGGATTTCTTTCCACTGGGCTTGGTTCTTCTGCAATGACAACTCCCCTCACAGCACAGACGTCTCTCTAAAGAGCTCAAACTAAAAATGAGACATTGTTCAACTGGATGCTTTTGGACACAATTTGGTCTGTTTTGGCACTACCGAAAATCTAAATGAATGAAGGTTCTGTGACCCATCAGAAGCCGCAGACCTGCAGTGTATTCCTCCTGCCACACATGCAGCCATACTCACAGCTACTTTGTACTCCCAGATCATCCTCCAGAAGTCAATGACAGTGTTTGGCAGTGGACCCTGAGTTGCAATGTAGGCCTTTGGGCCATCAATACCCTGATTAAAAAGCACAGAAACCAAGAAAAACAATTTTCAAAGATTAAGCCATACTGCGCAGTATTCACATACAGCTGAAATCAAACAAATCATTTACAACAAGAGGCAAAAAAGTCACTTGATTTTTTTACCTTGATGAAGTTCGCATTGATGTAATCTGTGTCCTGATTTGTTGTTTTAAATGCCAGCTTCACTCTTGTGTGGTCAACTGATATGAAACACATAGAAATGTGCTTTAATACCTTCATCAACTCATATGCTTAAATCACACAATCAATGACGATTAAGAACAAAAACACAAAAACTGGTTCAGAGGACGAGAAACGGTCAACTGGGCATGGATGAAAAGGACCAGTTATGTATTATAGCGCAGCAGCATTGTCCTCCTCCCGTCGGCGTGCGCTCTGTACGTGCGCCTGCATCTGTTACGGTTGAACCGGTCCCTGCGACGCTTTACCATCCGCTCATTCACTTAAAGCCTTAACCAATGAATGGGTGGATATAAAAGGGAAGAAAAAAAGAGGATAAAGGGATATAGAATAAAAAGTAGGACAGATGTTGGATCTTATAAGCCCCCCCAGGTCAATTAATAGGGGGACAATAGTCCACTGGGGGCCGACCCCACAACATGACCCCCCCATGTCCCACCAACGTTTGCGTTAAATCTTTTAAATGATTCCGAACAGACACGATACAAGGCGTCTATGTAATGAACCATTCCTGCATCCCCACATTCTTCCCTGCACCTTGGCTTTTTTAAATTCAGACACCACATTTCACAGCGCAGAGGTCACCTGAGATTAAATGTGGATGTTTCTGCAGAGGCGGTGACCTTTAAAGCTGAGCAGGCGAACACTTACGGTTTTTAAGCTACCAGTCATGCACGTCTCAACGATGGCGAGAGATTAATATTAGGCGGCGATGCTTTGAAAAATGTATGTGCAACATGAGCGTGGAGCTGTAAAAGGCCACCCCGATGGGGATTACTGTGGCACACACACAGTGTGAGCGGGCAGAAAAATTCCTGCCTGAAGTCATCTTGCAGATTTCTGAAATAGTCAAATTTGTCTCGGAGTTGGTTCTTTTTAAAAGTTGCAAAGAAAATGACTAATGAAAACACAAGGTAGGAGAGAGGTTTACCCAGACTGACGCTAAGCTTTAGCTGAAGACGGTCCACTGGAGGAAGCAGCACCATTTGGACGAATAATGAATAAAATCGCACCAAATCTGCTTCAAACTCGCAGCTGCTGCTGTCGTCGCAGCACAATGAGCATCTATGCTCTGGAATGTGTGGAAAATTTGGCTAAAAGTTTGGCAAATTAAGTCTTAACAGCCTTTAGAAAAAAGCAGGACTTTTAGCAGCTCGCAGGGTGTGTGTGAACACAACGCCACGTAGCAAAGACATCAGCAAAGATTTTTATGAAGCAACTGTTGCTGCCCATCAATGTGAGGGGGCATGGAAAGCCATTTCCAAAATATCTGTCTACAGTGAGGAAGATTGTTCACAACTGGAAGACCTCCAGGTCAGTGTGAGCCTCCCCAGGAGTGGATGCCACTCCAAGATCAGACTGTGTTCAGAGGAAGTGCCAAAAAACACATCGAGTCCCAACTCCGAGTTTTCCGGGCTCAGCTGGTTAACAGCTAAAGGCGGAGCAGAATTCCGACACCTGCGGTGTTACACGTCCTGAGTTAAACGGCTGATATCTGTGAGACTCTGCTGGGTGTGATAATAGCTGGAGCCCTCCCTCCCAGTTAAACACTTAAAACGGGCTTGGTGTGACGGATTAGCCTCGACCTTGCGGCAAGTTAACCGCGAGTTCACCTAACTCAGCATTCCGCTTTAATTAAAGAGGAATAACAAGAACGAGAGCGCCCGCGTCGGCCGAGGTCGCTCGAATGTGTCACCGCTGCAGGTCTGAAAACGCAGCGACCCGTTCACAGCAGCGCGGCGGATCAAGGGTCAAGTTAACCATCTCATTTCGCTGCTGTCGCACACTGTGCGCAGTTTAATGGCACAAAGAGAATCAATTTCACAAAGAGCCGGCCGGGCCCAGAAAGCCCTGCTTTCAGAGACACTTTCAGCCGACAGCGGATTCATTTCACGCTGAGCGGTGGTGACAGAGGGCTCAGGACGGCCATCACAGCCCACCTCATTATTCACCTGGTACGCTCACAAACTTTACCACCGGCAGATGGGATTAACAGATCCGACGTGTGTCAGGGGCCAGGATACACGGCGTCCTGGCAGCTGGGAACGTAAACGTTCCGTCTACCCGAGCTGATGAAGTGGTCCGCAGCTGGAAAGTAACCGAAATATTTCATATCTGCGGAGCCCGCTTGTGATTCCACATTTGAAGCGGTTTGCTTTGGTTGCAGCGCCTCTGCTCCTCTTGCCCGGTCACTGTGGGTCCCTTCCGGCTGGTCGGACACCGGTTAAGGTGGGATTTACAACAGAGACGTCCGGAGCGTCTGAGAACAGGAGGCACGCTGAGCATGGAGGGCCCGGCTCGGGTTCGCAAAGAAGCAGAACGCCAAACTTCTGGAACAAGTTCACTTCACAACAGCTGTCACGCACAGCGGCGGAAGGCTCCTAAGACAGCCGAGTAAAAACAAACGCAGCGAACCTCCAAAAGCGCTCCACAAGAATGTGAGAAACTGATAACGTCATTTAGGAACAGATTCCCAAAATTCCCTGCTGCTGGTGTACTTCGATCAGTTTTTATTTTATTAATATGTAACAAGCTGTTAATCTGATCTTGTTTTAACCTAATTTAGAACCCGGTGAGAACCACATAATTGTTTTAGTACTTCCTAAAACGTACCAGCTTAAAAAGGAGGGTGACATTTTTTTGTCATCTGATTTTTTATGTGGTCTCTAAATCCCTCAGGAAAGCTCAAAGTATTTGCAGATTAATCTTACCATAAAAAACAGCTGAACTATTCCCCCGTTTAAACAGCAGGAGAGAAACGGGCACGCGGTCACGTCCCCAATACAAACCCAACCTGTTCCTCAGCAGGAGTGGGCTAACCTGTAAAATTGGCTCCGAGCAGAAGCAAAGTGAAACTTACAGGGCAGTATATCTTTGTATCTGTTCTTCTTGACATTCTCCTCCCGCTCTCCTACGTTGGTGGGGTAAATCTTCTCTGTCCGGTACTTAGTTGATAACCGCCGTAACCGCTGTAACAGGAAGAAGGAGAAACAGCAGGGATTACACACGAGTCGTTAGCCAGTTCAAATTAGCCGACAGACGGAGCGGAAAGGCATCAATGACTGCTGCCCCTTCCTCTGAAATGGAATGGAAAACTGATAAATGACTTTTTTTTAAAAAGACAGGGTCAAATTGCACCACAAGTGGGTCAGAAAACAGTTTATCGGTGTGAGTTACAGGGCTCCCTGTAACACAGGTTGAGACGAATGAGACCGAGTTTTAATTAGGCCTTTCTTTATCGTGTATTCTGCCAGGGCAGCTTTGGTTCACATACAGATAAATGACTGTGGGAACAATCTAGACACACACACGGAAGCCCCGTCTTTCCTATTAATACCACAGCATCGGTTTCTCCCTCTCATGCACACACTTTTCCTCTTTGTGAAATGCATCTTAAAGTTTAGTGCGGCCAAATCTAATAGTGGCTGACACTGATGAAGACGCATTCAGTTAATGGGAACTCACAATTACGTTGTCTCCTCTGACAGCGGACCAGAGCTTAGCAGCGGCCAAGAATAGAAGACTTTTAAAGGCAGCGGGGACCAGGCTTTTCCTCACACGCGTTTGACAGGACCGAACCTTTAAATCCCCCCCGCCGTCGACACGGGACGCGTCCTGACATAAGTGCTGGATTCGTGAGCTGGTTTGGGGGCGGCTAACGGGCAGGTGAGGGGGGGTCCAACCTGAACACAGAAGCCGCTGCTCTGCTCTGAGGGGCTGAAGTCAGAAGAAAAAATCTAAGAATCGTAAAGTCAAACTGTTGTTTTCTCCTCGTTATTGCGTTAAGGTGGGCGTGTTGACACTCCGGTCTATGGGGATTAAACTGTTTTGGGAGACAGATATTGGTAGCCATTTATGGCTCTGCAGTGGCTGCTTTCCTCTTCAGCCTCTGGGGGTTTGGAGGCTCTTCTTCTTGGGCAGAACAGAGCGCGATGAGGCAAACCTGGGCTAAAATAAACCGGCTGATAACCACTGCAGCCTTACCCACAATCCTCTGAGTGGAAATAATCACGTTTTGTTGAATCAGCCAACGCAGGTAGAAAATATTTGGGTCAACCTTGCCTTGTAGGACGCGGCTGTGCTCATGTGATGCCGAGCCCCCGCCTCCTCTGTAGGAAAACTGTTTACTGAAGCTTTCGACATAATCGGAAACAGTAACAGAGTGTCTCATACGTTTCGTTGAGCTTGCAAAGGAAGTTTACAGTGTGTCTTTATCCAGTTGCAACTTTCCTGTGGCGCCAAGCATCATGGTGAAACTTTTAGGAACCTTAGACTGTAAAAAAGTCGTAAAAGGGGTCCTGCGGCTGAATTGTGACAGTACAGTAGTCACATGATATGGCTCTCAGAGGCCATTTCTGGTTCTCCAAGTACCGTCCTCTCTCTTTTTTTGAGACAGAGGATATTTGACATCTCTGTTTCTGCCTCTTTCACTCCTCCCCTCTCTTGCTCTCAGAGTCTGTGAAAGTCAGCGTGGGCGTTCAAGCTTCTGGAGCCTCTTGTGAAAAATGCCCCCCCCCCTCCTCCTTCTTCTCTTTGGCCCCGACTGCAGGCTTTCCTCCTGTTAATGTAACATGGACATGCACTGCACATCATGATTTCCAGATCTCCTGGCAAAAAGACCTCCTCACTGGCCTTGTTTAAGTTTTTTCCAACACAAGTCTAACATACTGTAGGCAGAGCAGAGCAGTGATGCTCTGACAGACAAAAAGCAGCTCCTTTACTTGATCTCAAACCAGGTTAAAACACTTAGCAGGGTTTCAGAGAACGATAAGCCGAACACACAAACCTACCCAACAGACACCAGACTACAGAAAACCTTAAACGTCGTCTTTTGATCAGAACTTTTGGATATTGGTGCACACACACACACACACAAACACACACCGTTGACACCCGTAGCACAGAGGTGACCTAAAAACATGAAGATCTTCGTAAACCAATACCAGAGACTATCAGTTGCTCAGGGAGAGGAAGTCAGGGAAAGAAAGGGGGTGAGAAAGAGCCATACACACAGAGGCTGTGGGCGGCAACACAGCTGTGTGAGTGCGATCGTCTATGTCAGTGTGTGGTAATAGCATTAGAGCTCCTCTGGCCTCATGTGAATTACATTTGCAACAGCGGCCTGCTTCTGTGCTGGGCCAAGGCCCAGGAAGACAAACCTACACACAGAAAAACGCGCGTTTACACAAACACAACACAAACCCGGGACAAGAAGGACCAGAGGTAGCCTCGCTTTCTTTTTATTTACGGGTAAATGGGGGAAAGAAATCTGGTAACTGACAAAACAGAAGACAGAAGATAAGCCCAGAGGATGTTACTGAATGTTCTACGATGCTCTGCTGCTGGATGACGAAATGTTGTTTCACCAACTCCCGGCTCTGCTTCATCACCATTTCCGCCTTTTGGTGGCACAGATGGATTTGAAGTATGCGACTAAAAAAGCTCTGCGTTCCCAGAGAGGGGGATGCGTTCAGAGATGCTGCTGCTCGCTCTGGTCCCGTTAGGCCGTCTGAGCCGAGCGCCGCGAAAGCAGCTTTTTAAACATATTCTAGGACAAAACAAGTAGTTGAAACTCAAAATATGGTTGGTCCACACAGCGATTCAGCCTTATTAGGACAACATAACCACACAGAGGCGGTAAAAAGATGACTATTTTCACTCTGCTTTTTGGACCTTTTCACGTTTAAATGAATACAAAACCAGAATAAGCTATGGTTTGGACTCAAACGTACCCTGACTTACTGTCCGACTACGTGAGACGTTCAGGTACCGTAAGAGGATGGGATATCATCAAATTACCACCCCAAGAGCAAGGAGAGGCATGCAACTAGTTTCCACATTTTCTGGTATGAATGACTTTCAAAGAAAAATGGCTCAATTCTGGCCGGACAGCAGAGGACGGCCGCACACACACAGCGGATCTGAGAAACAGCTGCCAGCCACTGCGTGGGCTGATAAATGGATCAGTCACTTTACAATCTAAATAACTTAGTTGTGTCTGCTGCCAGTTGTCCTTGGGACAGAGAGCAGCGCCAGCATCAGTCGCCCGCTCCACTTTCTGCATATTAAATGTGATTGTTTGAATCGACTTAACATCAGTGGAAAACGGGTTCTTGGGTTCTGGTTAACAGATAAAAGACAGACAACATTCAATCAGTCCTTCTAACCGTCAACTTGTCACAGAATAATTTCATATTTAAGAATCCACCTCACACAGCTATAAGAGCTCCTTCTTTCTTTCTATTCGTCATTGTCTGAGCAGAAAAAACGTCTTCCTGATTACAAAAAACACACAAAAAGACAGCAAACAGACAAGCATGTGTGCTTGTGCTCTCAGGAATAATGGCCGTGTTTGAAGGACGCAAAGGAAAGAAAGATAACGGAGGGCCAGCCTCTTCCGTCCTCTCATTTCAAATAAAACTAACAAGTGAGGCGAGGTGCGAAAAAAAGAGGAAAGAAGGAAGAGACCTAAAAATCTGCCATAAAGGAGAAAAGAGCACCTGTAGGTTTGTGAGAAAGGATGGGAGAAAAATGGAAGACGAAGGAAAGGGGAGTCAAGGCTTTTAAAGGGCTCTTGTTAACTGAGTCGATGGGCTCTTTTATTCGCCGCCTCCTTCCTTCATTCACTCTGTCGCTTCGCTGTGGCGTCTGGAGGCCAGTGCAGAGGCCGGGGCGAAGAAAAGCAAATCTCTCTGCCATCGGGACTCAAGTGTTCTCCTCCACTCGGTTCTTGTTTGTTATTCGACAGTCTTTCACTTTCTGTAAAATGACAACAAGCAAACGGCGCTGCTGTGGATGGGAACCGTCAGAGGGAGAGACTCCAGCCGCCCGCCCTCTGATTGCTTTCCGTACTGGGCTGATGACCACTGTTTGAAGAGCACTTCTCTAAAAACTTCTTGATGAATAAAAAGTGACTTTATTTCTTCTTTCTTTTTTCCTGAAGGGTTTCCTCTAAAGCTTAAAGTTTCCAGGCCACCTTCAGCCTTCATCATAACTCCCTGCCGTCACCGTTCTGTTAATGGAGAAGAAGTCAGAGCTGGTGTGGTGCGTGCGTCAGAGCAGACTTCAGACTGCAGGTTAAACGAGGTGGCGCTTCAGGTTAATGAGGCAAAAAAAACTTCTTCTGATTATTATTTCATCTACAAACGCCAGGGAAACACCAATTCTTCGTCTTCTAAGAAAAACGTTTAGAAAAAAAGAGCTTGCAGATCATTTGAAGTGATTTCTGCTCCACCTCTGAAGCCGTGCTCTCTCTGAATGAGTGTCCCAACTTAACTCGTCCGTGCTCTTTCCTCCTTTCTCACCCCTCCCGTTTCTATTCCTATCAGTCGGAGAAGTCGGGAGCATGACGGAGCTGGCCGGCTTCCTGTGAACACTCAGCTCCCAGTGCCACACACACACACATTCAGGGTGGAGCCCCCCCCGACCCCCCCGATAGGCCGGTGCCAGCCTCACAGACCCCCTCGTGGGTGTGGCTGAGTCATGCTTGTTCATAGACATTTCTTCACGATTACTTCACTTGGCCTAAATGAGTGGAGGATGCCAGGGCAGTTACTGAGCAAATGACTTGTTAAAACAGAGGGGGGGCAGATTGAAAAAGACAAGAGAGAGAACCTTGTGGGGCCTAAAGAGTTGCTGGTGGATCTAACCTACTTTCTGTCTCCTGGCTGACTAAGCCAGCATCTCTGTGCTTCCCTAGCTCACTAAATTATTCACACACGTACACAGACGGAGGAACGCATTTGCTTTCTGGGGCTCGGCGGTGAGCACTGACTGGCAGAAAGCGTGCTCTTCCTGCACAGGCGGGGGGGGGTAAGGTTTTCTGAGAGTGTGTGGCCAGGAAGTGGGCTCGCTGAGCGTTGGTGCGCAGAGAGCCTTCCCCCGACGGTCACCTTCCACGCAGACGGCGGCACACGCCCGCTAAAATAGGTCACCCCTCACAATGCTCTCAGAAAAATCCATCTCCCATGCCGCCATG